TGGCTGGACTACATTTACCTTCACCGTATTAAATTCTCGTAATTATACAAAATATAAAAACCCCATCGATGAAATTTCAAATTAAAAAACATGGGTCTTTGTTTTTCATTGATATTCAAGTGAATTTGGAGCTCTACAGCTATTAACAGATTTCGCTCACGTCTCTCGTTGGGTGACCGATTGTCCCATCATCTCCCAAGGGGTCAAAGGTCATTTATTGAAGAACGAGCTTCTTCGACGGTGTGAAGGAGTTGGAAGATTGCTATTGAGGCATCCTGGGGAGGCGATTGCTATGCAGAAGCGTAGGTACCGTCGGCTCCTACTAATGAATTCCTTTTTGAGTACTCAATTTTCCAGAGACAAGAACAAACGATAATGGATCTCCACAATCTTTGGGACTGGAGAGAATGCCAGCAGAGATGTATGTCCCTAATCAACAGCAATGGCTTGAGCTCAGAGCCTCAAAGACTTACAAACTCTACTGTTGCACGGATTAACGATTTTTTCACGGGCCAGCCCTTGAAGCCCAAAAAGAGCAAGAAGCCCTTCAATCCCATGTGAACTTTGAACGTGAACTTCTATTCTTCTTATCATATTTCTAGATATTATCTGATTTCCTCGGTGTTGCCTTCATGTTTTATCGCTCAAATAATTCATTAGATTCCAATTTAATGAAATTTGATAAGATTAATGGAATTTAATGAAGCCAGTGTTATAATAGAATTTGTCTGGAACATTGATCGCTCTTAAAATTCATCGGATTATAAATTTCGATCGAACTGTGTACCTGCGTGTATTCTTGTGAGAATTGAATAAATATTGAATATATGTTTTCTGAATCTTGCCCTCATGACTCGATCCTATGAAACTCGATGGACACGACAGCGCGAAAATCCACCGCAACATCGAAATACGATCCGCTCGAGTTTCCGATGTCCTTCTTGATTTTGTTATGCAAGAGTACGAGTCCATCGGGAATGCAAAATGATCTATAATTATCACGAGGAGACACGATAGATTCCAAATTAATTCCCAAAGCGATATAAATTAACTTAACTTTATATCGTCACAGGTTTTTCAGAAATATCTACGGAACTAAGAGAGACAGCTAAATTTATGCGAAAAACTTTTTCGTTGTTTTCAATTACCTCTACAAAAAGGATTAGAATAAAAATTTTGTCATCTCCCTTAGTTTTGGAGAAATTAAAAAAAAACGCAAATAATAAGAACCCGAGGGTGACTCGACTACATCCACGAGGAAGGGGGAACGGAATGGTTCTCGAGTCGGTTGGGTCAATGCTCTTGGTCAGTCCCTTCACAGCTTTCGTCAAGGCAAGATCTAACTTAAACTGCTATAAATTGGCAAAAATGCCGATTATTACCGAAAGAACATCACTGACGAGATCCTCAGATCCCCCCACGTACGTCGAGTACGCGGGGATGATGAGGGCGAGGAGATCTAGAGTTCGGCAATTTCAGTGCTGTGTTTGTGCGATTCTCTTGTGAGCATTTACCCCTTTACTCCTATTTTTCTTTTCGAATTTTTTGGATTTTCCTCTTCCAAAAAAAAATGATCGATTCTTTCGAAAAAATTTTAATTCCTCATTTTTGCAAACTGAATCGGAGTTTCAGGTCTCTCCTCGTGATGGCCCTCATCATGTCGATCAGCTACGAGCTCTCTCCACGGGTATTAGACCCTGACGAGACACCGAACGAGTCCCCAACGGCTGCACCGAACTTGACAACTCTTCTTCAATTAGGATCTCCACTGGATGCGTTCCTCCCCAGGCAATCCCTCGACGGCAATTCCCCGGAGCCAGAAGAACACCCTATCAATCATCAATCTCTAACTCAAGAGGAATGGTCCGGTGCTGTGAAGATCGGGAAGGAAGCGATTGTGGCTCGATTGAAAGCAAACGAAGTGGCGACGAGTTTCATGCCAGGAGAGATGTCCCCTAACATTCGTCACAGCTACGCGGTGAGCACAGGACCAACAGCCGGAAGACTAGCTCTAGCGGGTGTTGGTGAAGTGGCTGCTAGCAGACACGTGGAGTCCTCGAGGAGAGCAAAAGGCTTTCCATCAGCTTTTGGGGCGTATTTCGATGGCAAGTGGTCAGGTGTCTCAACTTGTGTTGATAACGACGAAAGCCTCAAGTGCGATTGGACCCGGAAGTATCGAAACATCAACGGCACCTGCAATTACCCTGGAAATAAGGGCGCGGCCTTCACGCCGTTCAGGAGGGCTCTTCCACCAGCGTATTTTGATGGAATTGATGCTCCCAGGAGTGGAGCATCGGGGAGGGCATTGCCATCGCCTCGAGAAATCTCGCTGAGGGTTCATGGACCCTCTCCGAGCTCCAATCCGTCGTTCACTGTGATGCTTGCAGTCTTCGGACAGTTCATCGATCACGATATGACTGCCACTGCCAATGGCAGAGGAAAAAACGACAGCACTCTCGCCTGCTGTCCACCTAGCAAGGGCCATCCTGAGTGTTTCCCCGTGGCTATTGGACCTGGAGATCCTGCTTATGATTATGCTGGCAAAACCTGCATGGAGTTCGTCAGGTCGTCGCCTGCTGCGCAGTGCAAGATCGGGCCGAGACAACAATTGAATCAGGTTCAGAAATTCAAATGTGTTATCTGAAATGCTATGTACTATTTTTCATATTATGAATTTTGTATTCATGTTTCTCAATCAGGTAACCGGTTTCATCGACGGATCGGTGATTTATGGCTCTGACGACGTCACAGCGAGCTCCCTGCGATCCCCGAAATCGGGAAAACTCCGGATGTTCAAAACCCCGGATGGAAGATTTCTCCTACCCCTCAGCACAGACCCGAACGACGGTTGCAATCGCCCGAGGGAGCGGTCACGTGGCCGGTACTGTTTCACCTCTGGAGATGCTCGAGCTAACGAGAATCTACACCTCACCACGATGCATATCCTGTGGGCGCGCCAGCACAACTCCATAGTAGATCGTCTCTCAAAGGAAAATCCCTCCTGGAGCGACGATAAGCTCTACCAGGAGGGTAGACGAATCGTCGGAGCTCAGCTCCAGCACATAACGTACAACGAATTTCTCCCGCTTGTTCTGGGGGAGAGAGACGTCGCCCTGAGAGGACTCCGACCCCTCAATGGTGGAACTCATCGAGAGACCGAGAGTGAAGCCCCGGAACCCACGATCGCCAACAATTTCGCAACATCTGCCTTTCGATTCGCTCATTCGCTCCTCCCAGGGCTCATGAAAATGACGGACGCCCAGAATGGAACGGAGGACTACATAGAGCTCCACAGAATGCTCTTCAACCCGTACAGTTTGTACTCCAGAAAAGGAGTCGAGAGCTCCGTGATGTCGGCGGCTTCCAACAATATCCAGAGGACTTCCCCCCACGTCACCTCTGAACTAACCAGACACCTGTTCGAGGACCCACTAGACCGGAGTGAGGACAAGCCCAGGTTGCCCTGTGGCCTTGACCTCGTGTCCTTGAACATTCAGAGGGGAAGGGATCATGGACTGCCGGGGTACACCAGCTGGAGGAAATACTGCAACCTCACGAGACCACAGAAATTCGAGGATCTCGAGGAGATCATGGATTCAGAGACTCTCAGGGAAATCGAAAGGGTTTATGGCGAAGTGGATGACGTCGATCTTTATACTGGAGCACTTGCTGAAAAAACTACTGGGGATGGAATCGTCGGGCCGACCTTTAGTTGTCTCATTGGTGATCAGTTTCAGAGACTTCAGAGGGGTGATCGGTTCTGGTATGAGAATGCTCAACACCCATATCCATTCACTGAAGGTATAGATTTTTTATAAAATTCTCTATTTTTAATATTTCATTTCACAGCGGATTTTTAGAAAAATAATATCGGTATCCAGTTATGCAAAAGTGAGCTTTGTGTTATGTTTGTTGTCATAGAACAATTGATGGAGATCAGAAAGACCACTCTTGCGAGGCTGATCTGCGACTGTTCTGACAGTATCGATAAAATACAACCCCAGGTCATGAGGTCTGTCGATGCCAGTAATCCTATCACTTCTTGCAACGATATCCCCATGCCAAATTTCACCCTCTGGAGAGAGACTAATTAATTCAGTGTATTATACTGACAATCTTCATATTTTAAAGGAAGGGAGAATATTCATAATTAATGGTTTTTTGAATTTTCTTCTAGCGTGCAATTATTAATTTCCGAGATCCCGAATATATATTTGCCCTCATTTCTTCACCTGGGGTTTTTCATGTCTCCTATTTCATTTCTTCGAATTTTCATAAATTTGAATTAAATAAAAATCGCTAGTTTTGTGGTTCAATTTATTTTTGTACTGAACCCGGAATGAATGCATTTTATTAATGTGGAATTTTGGAGTTGTATATATATAAATGAAAAAATGATAGAAAAAAATCTGAAATGTTTACTTGCTTTTTCCAATCTGACTCCATTCCTCCAGTGCCTCCTTGTCCGATAAAAAAAAATTTAAGGTTATGACAAACCTCTAAAACTTGCATGACAGCACCATGCACACGCAAAGTATAAACAAAACGGATTGTATGATGCGTTTGAAACTCAAATAAACGCAGTAATCGATTACCGGCTCTAATGACGTGTGGAGAATTGTCAAGTTCCAGTTATCGAAAATAGCGACGATGAATCCGATAAATTTTCTCGCTGCTGCCGGCATCATCCACGGGGTATTGTTATTCTTCAATATGCTGTTCCGGGTAAATAAACCAGATTCATATAAAAAAAAACACTGATTTCGCGGAATTGTCGTCAATTGACCCAGTTAATCCTATGAATTTTTGCAGTCATGCTCGCACATTCCATACCTTCTTTTCATGGAGAACACTGGACTCGAGGTAAAGACACTCAGTATCAAGTGGTTCACAGGTGCATTCAATCGGCCTTTGGTCAAGTGGGGAACGTCGAGATCGAAATTTTGGATTTTGTGGTTCAATCTGGGAGTTGTCGTGACTATTGTTCTCCTACCAGTTGTTTCAGTGATTCTTATTAAAATGCTAGTGGTCATGTTCCTGAGTGGTCCCAAGGGTGAGAGACCGGCTGCAGAATGGGAGCTGGAGCCCATGGTAATTTATTAATTATTCGCTTTGTTTTTACTTAAAAAAAAATAGCACTTATTCTAGTTTATCGTTTCACTAATTATTTAATCCCATAGATTCCTGGGGTGAATGTTCCCTTCGCAGACATCCAGTACTACGCAATCACTCTGGGTCTGTGCAGCATTGTCCACGAGGCAGGTCATGCTCTAGCTGCAGCAAGAGAGGATGTCCAGCTGTATGGAGTTGGAATGCTGTTGGTGTACATTGTGCCAGTGGCGTTCGTCTCTCTCAACAGTGAACAGCTCTCCCAGAGACCGATGCAGAATCAACTGAGGATCCTGTGCGCTGGTGTTTGGCACAATATTGTCCTGGCAGTAGTGGCAGCTGTCGGAGTCTTCATAAGCCCCTGGCTCTGGGCTCCAATGTTCTCTGTGAACTCTGGGGTTGTTATCACTGCCATTCAGCCCCACTCACCTCTCCTGGGGATCACAGGTTTGAGTCATTACGACGTCATCCACAGGATAAACGACTGTTCAGTTCGGAATAGCAACGACTGGCACGATTGTATTCTGCAGTCTGTGAGGCAATCGACTCCGGGGTACTGTGTACCCCAGGCTTTGGTTCAAGAGCACGATGAGTCCATTCCAGTCTGGACGATGCCTAGTGGAGAGATCAATTGCTGCCGCAAGGACAGTGAGACCGATGGAAAATTATGCTTTGAATTTATCGAGGAGGGACAAGTTCCTTTGCAGCTGCAAGAGCATTCTTGTCTCCCTGCGAGATTAATTATTGAAAAATCCAGGGGATTCTGTAGCTCGGGACAATACTGCCCGGAAACTGGAACTAATTGCATGAAACCTACGTTGGATAATGTGACAAAAGTCAGTCGAATTTATGTCTTGAATTTATTTGCTTTATATACTCTGAATATTAAAAATATTCAAATATTAAATATAATTTTTACAGGTCGTGCAAATAAAGAGGGAAATTGGCAGAGACGTTTTGTTCTTCGGTTACCCAGCAGACATTTACCGTACGATTGAAATATCAGAATGGGTGCCAAAATATCAATTTTTGAGTTCAGAAATGCCAGAGTCTTTGGCATTACTTTGCAAATACATCACTGTGATCTCAGCGGGTTTGGCTGTGATGAACGTCGTCCCATGTTTCTTCTTCGATGGCCAACACATTGTCTCGACACTTGCACAGAATTTCCTGAGACCCAGAATCAGGCACAAGAGCTTGAGACAAGCTATTGCTTTGACAATTACCAGTGTCGGGAGCCTAGTGCTTGTGATTAATATTATTCATGCTTTCGTGCAGAGACAGAGGTAGCCGGTGAAATGAATTCGTTCAAGAATTTATTCATGTTTTATGTACAGCGATTTACAGTGATTTGCCTTATGTTTGTTTTTTTATTCTATCAGATTTGTATATTAACCCGTATTCTGTATAAGACTTGAAGTTTATTTCGTAAGGTTGAGGTTTCGTTTCAGCTCTTTCATAGAATTCTCCCCGTGGACTATCGAGGACTTAATCGCGAACTGTAATGAAGGATAAAGATATTCATGTACATTTCTGTAAGGAATTGAAATAGATTTCCAATTATAAAATACCCACTTCGTCTGTTAAATTCTTATTCCTCTTAAAATCAGATCTTGCCCAGTTTTTCAGGTATTCCTTGTCCTGCTTGTCCTGCACTTGCCTAATGGTCTTGAGAATATTTCGATAGAGAGTGAGGACCTCCTGTCTTCGAAGAAACTGTTGAAATTCATAATTAATTTACTATTCAGTTAACTGATGAAAAGAGGCATATGTTTTTTTACCTGTTTTAAACTCAAAGATGATTTTGGTAATTTACTGGCCATTTAAATTTTTTTAAAGAGCGTTACTGCTGTTTTGTTGATAATATCAGTCACTTTCTGCAACAATTTGGAACTAAAGATTGTTTATTATGAAAGATTCAGTGGGCCATGACGTCAGGTCTATCCTTTTTGGAATGAGTTCTCAATTTTATGAGCAGTCGCCTCGTGGAAACTACACGAATTTGGCTGCATCATCTGAGACACAGAAAAGTTAAAAGGATTGAAATTCACTCAAAATCAACTCGATTTTATTGTATTTATATTGAATTTACTGTTGTTCAGTGCATTCCATAAATTATTAAAATGGTAAGTCACCGATTTTCCCTTCAACGCAATCATCAATTTTTCTATTTGTCGTTGCAACCAGAAGTTTACATTACTTGAGGTTAGATTCACGATGACATTATGCTTTTGCCGGAGTAATTGTTTTTTTTGTGAATTTTCTTGAAATTTCTTTAAACATTTATTACTGTTTTTTATTTCCCAGGGCGAAAGTTTATTTGGAAATTTTTGTAGTTTGATATTATGGTAATCATTTTTTCATTTTACGTCTTTCTTTTAGAGTTTCAGATTGCCTCCTTTGAAGGCCAAAGCTCCTGTTGCTGAGGAATTTGGTATGAGCAGTGGTACATATGGGGTACCAGACCCTATGATTTTGGGGTGAGTTCATTAAATTGCTCCTTGAAAAATGAATCAATTCCTTACCTTATAATTTTCTATCGTTTCAAAATCGGATGAATGGGCGATTGTACTCTCACTTCGTTTGTACAACTGTCAATGAATATGATTAACACAAAAAAAAAACGAATTCAAATCGATATGCTTGCTTAACTGCTAATTATTGCAGATTGCCGGCAGCAGCCCATAAACTTGGCACTTCTCACCCTCTCGAGACGTCCGAACGTGACGTAAATACCAAATTTTTCCATTCATCTCATCTACAAAATGATTTTTCGATCCATTAATCTGAATTTTTAATTTCAGTTTCATCTGAATAAACTGAAACGTGATATGATAATGCTAAGAAATGTCCAGGGGCTTCATGCACCATTGCGCATCGCGATGGAACTAAAAGCGACAGAGAAAATTGGAAGACACCCATTTTTACCTTCGTCGGGGCTGATGAGAGATGTTCTGCTGGGTCGTGATGAAGATATAGGGTGAATTTTATTTCTCAGTCATTCTCGCATTTCATCGTGTCGTCAAAATAGTGTAGCCATACAATATTTCGAACGATACGTAACTATTAAAAAAAATTCGGATTTCAGATTCGAGGATATCCTGAATACTCCAGAATTCAAAGAACAAATGGGTCAACCCCACGCAGTCGTCGAGCGAAGTCTCAACTTATTGTAAAGTGTTCTTCATAATCTTAAGTCCATTTTCGATAATAATTTCAAGGAAACCTAATTTGATGAATCGTCAATAAAATGCTTCTCATCTTTATGCAGCTGAATAAAAATTTATTTCCAAAATTTATAAAAAAACATAATTCTATGTATGCGGTCATGCGTCAGGCCACACCAGGTCGTTGATTCTTAAACTAGAAATTTTCTTCACTTCATCAATTCCAGTCTTCAATTCCACTTCCCTGGAATTTTTCAGTCGTTCTTCGATCGCGGTCAGAATAGTCTGCACTCGATTTTCCCTTGCGCAAATGACAAAGGGAAATGAAAAAGTGTCCTTATACCTGCGTAAAAATTGAAAAAAGATAAATATGGGAGAGGTAAATATCGTCAGATTAAAATGCTTCGCCTAGTATTTGTCAATAATTTTTGTATAAACACATGATGACGCACATTTGATTGAGATTATTCAGTGTCAGTCTCTCCTCCCTCGTCATTGCGTCAATCCCTGCAGTGTTTTGCTCTGTTTCAGATTCTTGTGTCAATTTCTTTCCATCAGAATGTTTACTAGCCAAATCTGGATGATTGAATAACACGGATTCTTTCCCTAAAGAGAAACCCAGGAAATTAAATATTTTGAATGCAGGCAATGCGAAATTTTTTTTTAAATTGATTATTCAAATAAAATTCATGAATTACCAATTGATCAATTACATCACATTTTTTTAATTGTAGAAAAGTCATTATGAAAAATTGAATTTTCTAACAAATTCGTTTGCTTTTCCATTTTTTCGTCGATCAGATAATTAAAGGTTTATCTCACCACGCGTATCAAGTCCATCCAAAAAATGACAAAATGCGATCTTAAGGTCTACAACTCTGCGAAAAGGTCTCTGAAGAGCAGCTGCGCGTGCAGCTTCCGGACAATGTTCGATAATATTACCGAATAACCACTCGAATTGCTCAATCTCAAGTGCATTTACCTCTCGAATGCTCAACACTCCACCTCCTACCATTTTGTCTCCTATAACAAATTCCCAATAGTAAAAAATAGAAATTAATGATTTTTATTATTGTCGTTTTCAAGAACTGACTAAAATATATTCAATAACTCCGCGAGATCATTTATCAACACTTTAATACACTGCGTGTTCGAAATTACCCTAATTTCTTCCATTAATCTTATCGCAGTGCAGAGATTAATATAGACGTTATCAGTAACGCTTTGACGTCGACGTCAAATTTCGCACTGTTGATCAACACTCATCGCAGAATAGTCAGTCCACGGTAAAAAATTCTATCCTGCCAACAATTGAACGTAAATTGTTCCCACTCTACTTTGAAATCAACAAATTTTCAAATTAACAAATCAAAAATTCGTCGTGAAACTGAAAAAAGTGTCAAATTCAGGAGTTACTATTAATTCCGCAAATTACCAGTCATTATAAATTAATTAACAAACTAATTGATTGATTACCGAGTTAATTACAATTTATAGGGAGTCGATAAGCGAAGTTCTTTGCGATTTATAAAAAATATAGCAGTGCGTAGGAAAATAAATGTTTGAGATCCAAAAAAATGTTTATAAAATGATTTACTGGATAATTATCGCTATTAAAAATTCACGTACTCACTGCATGCGGTGAAGGCGTTGCCTGGAACTTCACGACTAATTAACTTTAATGATGTACACCCGATAAACACCAAAACACAACTGTACAAAGTTCAGAAAATTATCAGTACGAAGGAATGACTTATCTTAACGTCCCACATCGTGAAAATGTACGTCTGCCCATTCCTGTGGTGAAAATCATGACGTGCCCTTTTACACGACTGATACTTTCCTCCGATTCTCAAATGCATTTGCGATTAATATTGCATCAGTTTCCCGTAATGAACAATTTTTCTTCACACTTCACTAGTTATAAATTTAAATACCACTGCCGATCACAGCGAAATCAAAAGGCAGTGGGAGAAAATCGTCGAAAGATGTCGTTGGAGGTTCTAAGATTCAAAAGATTATAAAAATAAGAAAAAGTGCTTGCTTCTACGTATAAATAATCCTTAAGCTCAAAAAAAAAAATATTGAATAATTACTAAAATATTTATAAAATAAATATTTATTACAAATCGGTTTTAAATGTTTGTAATTAATTGTTGATGTGTACTTTGTTTATTTTTCCGGGATTTACTTGAATGTTCATTATACATACGATTTTCTACATACATTGTATTTTCACAAAAAAACCGGTGCTCCGGATGGGGACTCAGATATTCCGTCCTGGACCGAAAATGTTTTATTACGTTTTTCATCTGCAGATTAGCCCCCTTTAGAGCCATCGATACCCGATGCCCGGCACTTTATAGCCCCGTCATAAAAGGTATCTATCCCACATTTTTGGATGGTCCCGTGTAAAGAGGAGTACAAAAAAAGAGTGGAAAACACGGCTGGGACCGTGACCCGTAGAATTTCTCGGTATGAAACCCATGAGCATCTCCTCCAATCGTGCTGAGCGCCGACTGCATCATCCTTTTCATTCCTCACGTCTTTTTATCTCGGAAAAATACCGATTGATTCCATTGGACCCCACTAACAAAGCTAGCCAGCCTCCGCCTTTTGTATCGATATGTGCGTATGCAGACGTTTTTCCTGTTTGAATCACCCGTTCCCCGGGATCTCACTTTAGCTGCATTCAACATTGAATTTTTGTTAAGTTTATTAGGGTATCGATCACTTTCCTGGGAGGCTGCTCACTGCATTGGCCTTTTTAAGATCTTCCTCTTTGTCCGGAAGAAATTCGAAAAAGGACGGTAAACAGAATTTTTTTTTTTCCAAAAATTCTTTCGAAATTTTCATTTTTTATTCAAGGAACGCGAGTATCTCATCATTCATACGAAACGGTTATTATTACAAAAATAATATTCATCAAATATTAAAAACTTTAAATATAATTAGATAACGTTGAATATTTTATTTTATCAAGCTAATTGCTAAATCGACTTATAAAAAATCTGAAAATTTAGTTGCGCAAGCGAAATTCCATTGACAGGCATAATGTCCAGAATAGGCATTTTGAAGTAATGAAAAAAATGTCTGGGGGAATAAATATGGCAGGTGATACCCAGGAGAGAATTCCAACTTTTGATCTGACTCGTGACTTCGTTCTCAATAGTTTCAAGCATCTGAGAAAAGAAGTCATCGTCAGAGTTTGGCGCCAGCTCTGAGGAAAAGTTACCCTGGGGGTACGAAAGAAAGAAATGAGGAGAAGTGAGAGATGTAGAGACATTGGAATGGATGAAGAGGGTTGGGTGGCTGGTGCCCGCGAGTCGTTGGAAGATTCTAGCAGTGGGTTTTGGTAAAGGGGGATGGATATAGCTGGGGATGTAGCTGTGGATGTAGCTGTGGTTGGACATCGATCTGGTAGTTAACTCGAGAGCACCCCAGGGACTCGTTGCCACCGATTTCACCAGCCATGTCCCTCACTATCTATAGGATTCACTACTGACAAACGTTTTATCCCCGGTTCTCACATAAACCGCATTACCACACGTTTTTACTCTAGTATTTATGTACCATCTAAAGAGCCATTTCTACATTTTACCAAAAATTTGTGAAATTTCAACCGAAAGAACATTTTTTACAGCGACACATAGCTTTTCCAAAAAATTCATTAACATGTACATTTATTTTCCACCGATGATTTTTAGCTCCTCTATTTTTATTTGCACTGCAAATGGAAAAAAAATGTCCCTAAGCTCACGTCTTCAAAATAATTAACAATTGGTTTATTATTTATCCCGAATTTGTTGGTGACGAATAAAAAATTGTGAAGATCGTGGTTCTGAAAAATTATTCTAAGGCTCAACTCCACCGACGGAGAACGAAGGAAAATGTTGAAATAAGTCCACGTGAGATTACGTCTGACTTTAGACGACGTAACTACTTCACTCGCGGTATCAGAATGATTTACATCGAGCCCAACAATTTTTTATCCCAAAATCCACACAAACCGAGAAAAACTGGGTGAAAGGCTGATTACACCAAGAACTGATACTGATTTATCATTAATTCCAAGACAATATATTTTCAGAACTTAAAATTTCAATGACAAAAATTCAATGTACACTTAATTGTCTCGAAAAATAATACTACAGTACTTAATTACCAGTAAATGCCTGTATTTTTTAATAACTTACGACAGAAGCACCTGACGTTTAGTTGATTTATTTACAAATGTTTGATTGAATTTACAGGAAATAATTTGCCTTCAAAGATTCTCAATTATACAAAACGATTATTAATATCGCGGTATTCAACTATCAACTAATTAAATTTAAATTTTCTGTTAATCGTTTGTTTTAATTTCTAATTGAACTCAAGGCACAGGACTCGGCATTATGACATTAATTTCTTCATGCTCACTCTTATTCACTAAACACTTAACAACGTCTATGTTACACTGTTTATTGTACGCATAAGTTTTCTTTATCATGAGACATTAATACGTATACAATCGCATCCCAGACTATTCTCATCAAATTGTTAAGGCATATGTGCATTACGTATATTATTTATTAATATATTACAGTGGAAATCGAGTAGAACCGAGCGAAAGTCAGCCAAGAAGTCTCAAGTGATCTCCAGATAATTAACTAATCAATCAATGATTAGTTAATTAACTGAACCGATCAATCCATTCGTCAGTTCACAATGATTATATCTCAGAAATAAATTTCTTAATATCAGGAAAGAATTTTTTAAATTGAAGAAAATTGTTTTCTTGAATCAAGAATAAATTTTCTGCAATTAAGAACAAGTTTTTGGATTCAAGATACGGAGATTCTTTAAAAAAAACTTTCCCAATACCAAGTCACTCTTTTTTTCCGGAAGGAAAAATAATCATAGCAACATTTCTTGTAGAGAAAAGCGAGAACTACAAAAAAAGTTTTTATGAAAATCTTGAGGTCGCGTTGAACTCTGAGATATTTCCCAGAAAGAATTTCATCTCACCACTTGTCTGGTGGTTTAATGAGCGATTTTAATTAACGATTCTCTCCCGTCGGATGTCTTGCGCTCAGTCCACTACGCGACAGCGTATTAATTAGTGCTAAAAAAAATCTCTTATGATTAACACAACCGTGAATAACATTTTTTAACGCCTATGTAATAGGACCAAAGATACTCAGGTGTGAAATTATTTTCATGGATTATGGATTTTCATCCTGATTTAACTTTCAGGGCAGTTTCATCACTTTTTGCAATTAGAAAAAAAATCAATTTTGTGGAGTTTTCGTTTGTTTTCTTTTGATATTTTGCGCCGGGTGACTCTTCACCTAGAGTCTATCCTCTACCTAAAAATAACGAATAAAAATGCGAAAAATATCACTCCAAAATCGCTGATTTTAGGAATGCTGTTGTCTCTTAATTTGTCGATTTTTCCATATTCGATGTGAAATGAGAAAAATAAAGAATACGTAATCAAACGCGTGATTTTTCGATATTTTATTCGTCCGATCCATTGCGCCCGCGCAAAAATAATCCGTTGGGCATGTGGTAGGTGTAAAATTGATTTATTTAAAATACATTTTGTGTTAAAAAAACGATAGAAATTCCTGATCCAATAAAATAATTTCAACGGTAATAACTGAGCTCAATATAACTAACGGTTATAATAAATTTTCTTTTCGCGCATCCAAAGCAAAAGTAATGGAGGGACTCATGTTTACTATAAAAAAATTGAAATAGAATGATAAATGAAATATAATTAGAATTAACAAACAAAACAACGAACCCCTAGCAAGCTTATCGTTTAAAGTTTCACGTAATTACTGTGATATTTTCAATTACAAAGCGATTGAGTCTATGTACAATTTCGTCGAGCGAGTTATTGAAAGATTTATGTACAAAAGGACAATCTCCAAGTCACGTTGAAGGATTTTAGAAATAAATCTGTACATAATATCCTCCACAGCCCCGAAAATTTCTCAATCGATACCGTCTCAATCAATAACAATGAAATTTCATTTTACGATTAAAACTGCATCAAAAAAAATTTCGCTCGCATCGAAAATGATACCGACGAGAATTTTCTCAGTGCATTGATCGATAAAATTCAGTTCTCTCATTGATAACATAATTCGGGGAGTCTAATTATCGATGATAATTATTGATTCGAATGATATCGATCGATAAATCCGGGTGAATCCGGGGATATCGTAACTGTCAGTGATAAAATAACATTGGAATAGGTGAAAAGCCATTGGGTTCGACCTATCGTATTCATCGAATATATGAATAAATTCTCCGGTGAAATGATAAAGGATATTTGAGGGGGATTGATGGTTTAGAGGGAATTATCAGTTTCGGTTAACGACTCGACCACGATTCGGCATTACCAGTGCCTTCAGGTCACAATCCCATGACAGTGTGGGGATGTGGATGCTGGTGTGCATGGAGAGGTGTTGGATGACCTAGGCCGATTGGTGGACCAAGACCGAGAGGTGGTGATCCACTGCTGTGCATCAGTCCACCTAGCATACCGGTCATTTGACCGAGTGCCGCCAGACTCGCCATTCCACCGCTCGTCAGGTTCTCACACTTTATGTCTTTCTGCTCCATCTCCATTCGTTTTTTCCCCTGTTTGCGCTCTTTTGCTCGACGATTTTGGAACCATATCTTCACCTGGAACAATCCCAACAATCCAACAATTCATTTCTTTACTTCTTCATAATTTTTCATAATTTCATTAGCCCTTGAAAATTATCGGAATTTTAATTGAATATAAATGAAGCTTACCTGTCTTTCAGATAATTGGAGTTTTGCCGCGAGCTCAGCTTTTCGCCTGATGGTGATGTATTTGCTGCTGCAGAACTCAGTCTCCAGCTCGAACCTCTGATTGTCGCTGTACACCACTCGATATTTGTCTTTCGTTCGCGTTTTGCCTGTAACAATGTACAAATTCATTATTTAAAAAATCCCCCACTCACCCCACTCTGTACGAATCGACAAAGTCAACGACAAATACTCTGAATCAATAAACATGCGCTTTCCTCAGAACAAAAATACACTTCTTCGACGTATACAACAGCTACATAAGACAATTGTGCTTCTGCATCAGGTGGTGTCTACGACTTGTAATGGCGAACGAGGAAAAGAAGTTTTATCCTGAGCAACGATAACGCATTATCATAAAATGCGTCAACACACACGATGTGCGATGTGCACAACGACGTGTTAACTCTTCCAGTGATTAATCTCCACGATAAGCACATCTGCAGAAACAGACTCATCTACATTTTTCTCACATGCACAATTATCTTTCAGATATTTCCAAAAATTTTATCAATTCAATTACTCCATAGTTACAGCTCTACGACTAGACGACAGAAAACTCCATCCTCTTGAATATTTTCAATGTTTTAATAAACTCAATTAATTATAATATTAAATCAAATTTTGTCTCGAAGAATTCAACGAAAAAAAAGAGTGGAATGAATTGCCGAAGAATTCACATAAGGAAAGTGACTTGAAGCTCTGATTTTTGACACTTAGTCATTCCCAGCGTGAAAAAAAAAATCCACGAGAAATATCCCCCCGAATATGAGTCAAACAATCAATTTTCTGTTCTCTCTCGGAAGGCAGGGAGCATTTTAAAAAATTCGAACGAGTAATGGTGAGAAAGGTGAGAGAGACGGAGAGAAAAAGAGTACACGATTAGATAAGAGTAGCGGCAAAAGATCAAAGGCAGAGACGCTAATCCACCACTCCTCGATAAGTTGGAACGCGAGACCTTCGAAAAATGTCCACGACCGGTGTCTCAACTCTCAATACACCTCAGGTATATCAACCTCTCATCCTCCTCGCATTTTTTTAACAACATTCTTATCCGAATTTTTCCATATAAAACATGTCAATTAGGCGACATTAATGCGCACTTCTTTACGGTGATGATGGATTCTTTGAGGACAGTTGCGAATCATCGAGTCGAAAATCATTTCAATCTTCTACAATAAACTAACAACAAGTACCAGAAGTATTTTTTTTTATTAAATCGCAATTTTTATGCATGAAGTTTCAGAAATGGGCAAGAAATGCAAAGGGAATTTTTAATTTTATATCGACTCCCTTCGACTTTGATTCTCCATTTAATTAATATATATCATAATTATGTGGAGAATAAATAAATAAATGGTTGGTTTCTTATCATTTTGCTCAATACAAATATTTCATCTGAAAACGTAATTGATCGGTGAAAAATTCGAGAATTGATAAACAATGAATTGTAAATTTCCAGTGTTTGAAAAAGAACTTTTGTTTCCCCTCAAATAATTGATAATCTGTAACTGTCCTCTATAAACACCGAAGAAAAAATTCTCAGTACATAGCAGATATTTCCGTTTATAGTTGTTCTCTTTGACGTTTCACCGGGCTCAGTAACAAAAGCCCACAGTGTCGATCGCACCAGTTTATGGATTACCGTCGGTACGTTTCATCTGAGTGATAAAGAATCCATCGAGCACCAGGTCATCTCCACGCGACGGAAACTTATGAAATTCGGTAAAACTCTATAAAATTCCCCAAGATAAACAACAATTTTTTCAAACTGCAACTGCAAATTTCAAAATTACGCACAGCGAAGAGTGTCACGTGATTTTTTATGCTGGGGCTTAAATTTATTTATGATCTGCTGGGGATCGGATCAAAGGGGAACCGATCGAGGTGTGAATACGTGGATTTCACTCGCGATTGATAACAATGATACGGGGATCTAGGTGATGCAGCCTTGAAGTGTTGATTGACTCTGAATCCCCGAGAATGGATTTACTTTCAAATTTGTTTAATAAAAAACGTCAAATTCCGGCAAATCGACAATGATTTTTGGATTTCGGATTCATTTCCCTGTCATCATGTAATTGATATTGAAGACGTTTTTTTACAATGAGATGAATTGAAACAATAATTCAAGGAGACGAGAGACATATCTTGACAGCTATACTGTCACTACGTTGACAGTAACGGGAAGTGCGTAACGCGGAATATGAATGGGGCCTTGGAGCTGGGGAAAAAGGGGGGTGGGGAAGGGGATAAAATGTGAGGAAGTTCGTAGGGGTGGAAAAACGGGGCTCGCGGGACTCGTTGCAACCCCATTAAAACGATTCTCTTTCATTTCGCGTATACGAATTGCGCGTGCCTGCGATTTAGTCAAACCTCTGAATTACAGGGGTGGTTATCTTGAGGGGGTGAGTCTTGAATTATCATCCCTGTGTGATTTTTATTGCGTTCTGTCAGAGGCGTCACAATTATTATGCTATTGTGGGGGTTGGGTATTCGTATGTGTCGGTTTATCGTAGCCGTCGGAAAGATATTTATTGCCGCAAGATGTTGCGTTACGAGAATTCATCGTGGCCAGAATATTTTTCCAGTGGATATCATTTTTTTGAGGAAAAATTCCGGAAGAGATCTGTAAACCCAGGAAGAAATGTCGTTTCGTGAAAAATTAGAGAATAATTAGGGGATGGAATAGATATTTTAGAAGGGCGTCATGCAATTTTTTTTCTCGTAATTTATTGTCTCGATGTGGGTCAATGCATTTTTTTTTTTTCGGCGAAGGAAGGACAGTTTCCGGAGTGAAAGTAGGTCAGAATTTAAATGGTCACTCGGATTTTGGAAAAATCGGTGAAGGTCGCAGGACAACAGCCGTTGGTACCTGATGACAGGCGTCTGCTTGGTTTGAGGGACGTGAGAGAATAGTTCCGGAGGCGACAATGTTCTGGAGACGAAGATTTTATGACAGGTACGCGCGGTAAATATTTTATTGGTCAGCTTAGGCTCCCGACCCTTGACACAATGACAGTGCGCCGCATTTTTGAAAACAATGGCCCAAACACTATTACCCAAGACCCAGAGTCGAGTTGGGACTCATGTTCCCCTTTTCACCCCCCATCTGGCCCAGATGTTCATTCCACCGAACTTGCAATCTCAAGATTGCTTTCATTAGAATCTTTAAATTTATTTTCATTAGAATCAATTGACTATTAATTGACTTTTAGACCCGAAAAAAATCGCCTTTAAAATTTATTCATTATTTCATTACTATTCATTTTCCTGCCCTTTTTCCAAAGTCTTAGGAATTTTCGAAAAGTTTCGAAAAGACGTAGGAAAATTACTGCACGATCACGACATTGGGAGTCATAAAATAATGAAAAAATGCAATCAACAATTCTAATAGAAATTCAGAGAAAATTTTGTGAAGAGACCGGAGAAAATGAATGAAGTCTTGAAACGAGTAATGCATAACGCGATGATTATCGAATAATGGGGACATTTACCCCAATTCGTCACACCGTAATTCTTGGAAAATTGGGGGTCAGTGTCCAGGCGATTTAAATGGACTGAGGAAGGTTGACACTCTGGGGATCTGGTGGGCGTTGCAACACCCGAGGTTCTGCTCGTTGTTTAATTGACCTCCATTGTTGGCAAAACAAGACATTCGCCTCTGAAACCCAAATCCAGGCGCCCACACTTCAGTGTGGAAAATTCCAATTGTCCCTTGACCAAAGGTCATCAATGGAAAACGGAGCATTCCAGTTCCACATCAATTTCAAATATCCCCCAACATCCAAGAAATATTAAGTCACTCCAACAAATAAATATCTCGATATCGGAAAAAAAATTGATAGACTCAAGACCTAAATAAACAATAATAATAAATAGAGAAAAATTCATAACTTTCCGATTGTAAATATTGAACGCCGCGATTTTCCTCATGGGCCATAAAAAATTGCGAAGACTGTATTTTTTTCTGGCATTCTCTTATTATGTAAATTAATATCACAACTCCTGAGATCCGGAAAGTAACTCGGTGTCAGGAAGGGAAAAAATCGTGCGATTGAGGTGAAATCGCGTGTAGTTGAAGTTCCCACCAAGAAAGAGAGAGAAAAAAAAATGGAGAACCTGAAAAAGTCGGTAACTACACGCACGAAAATTGTAATACGTACATTCTCAGTCATGCAAGCGTTGTAAGAGAGCCATGCAAGAGTACTGGGTGCAATATAACCATAAAATGGAGATAATGGACGTTAGGTATCGGGCAATAGGATGGAGAGAGAGGAAAAACAACTCCAAATGTATTTGATGCACGTCGGCCATTATGATGTCGGAGACACGCGAGTTTATGCTCGTGGAAATGAGCGGTGGTTGGTGGAATTTTTCGAGGGTGAATAATAAGTGGATTATATTTTGAGGGATCTTATAAACCACCTGAATACTGGCCCACGATTGGTCCGAGGTGGTGGACAAAAAAATAGGCAGAGGCGTGGCTGGAGATTATCATCACGCCATCACCAATTTCGGTCTTCACCAAGTTTATCACAATTTTCACTTTATTACTTTCTAACATGCAAATTCAATTCACCCGGACATTAATTGTTATCGATAAGAGCATGCGAACGATTTTATGAGATTAATTCAGTCACAGAGAGAAAAATCTGTTGAAAACTACCTCTCAGGATTATTCCACTAATTCCCAATTATTTTCAAATATTTCATTCTAAACTGAGATCTGCAATTGAAAAGTTACTCAAGGGCCTGTGGGATTTTTCATTCTTTTTCTCTGTGTGCAGATTCGATATTTCTACAGCGAAGTGCGAAGATGAGTCCAGAAATTTGATTATTTGCATTTGATTAAAGTATTTCAGGCGTTCGGCAAAAAATTTCGAGTGCAAATTAATTCCTCTGATATTTATCTCCAAATCAGTGGCCGAGGTACTCAAATTTTCGATTCATCTTCTACTCTTGTTAATAATTCAATGTTAAATTTTATGAGACACGATAATGGGACTTTTTTTAAAATTAATATTCGTACCATCCAGGGTGCAGAGCTCTGGACGGTACACCGATACAGGTCCTGCTGAACCCCCAGACACGCTGCATGCTGCAACAGCAGTATTCACGGGAAAAATAGTATTCATGTGAAAAGAATAAAAATCACGTGGTAAGTGCCCTTTTTACATCATTCCCCAAAAAAGTCTTAACAAAAAAAGGATAAAAATTGTTTGAACAGAAGTATCTGCCGGGTATTCCTCCGGGGATCTCAATATTTTGGCTTCAACATCTTAAACATCTTGAAAAACATGAGTTATTCAGTTGATATCGATCGAGAGAAGCAAAAACAACGGCAAACGAATGTTAAATCGGGACTGACAAGCTGGGACGTGAGAGGGGATTATCTCACAAATATTTGAGAACAATTAGATGTTTGCGTGAGTCTATTAACTGATGTTTACATTGTTTGCCGTATCTAGACCACGTTTGGGAGCAACGTATCGCACTCCAGTGATAGAACAACCCAGTGAAATAAATCCACCCAGACAGTGTGAGAAAGATCAATTTAGCCGGTTTTTTTTTTCCTCATGTAAGCCACATTATCACGAAGATGAAAAACGAGAACGTTCTATTTTCATTGGAAAACTTCAGTCTCCCTCGATCGTGCCGCTTGTTATATCGAATCCATCGAAACCGAATGAATCTCATCAATGAAGGATGTTTATATTTTGGTAACATGAATGAAATTGAAATCCCCTTCGGTCGATCGAAGGGAATTCGGAATTTCCCATTCGTATCAAAGATATCCAAGTCCAATAATTCGTATTTGTTGTTTTCTTTATTCCACTAGAAGTAGCGGAAATGAATCGTCCGATTGGAATTGAATTTCGTTCATTCTCTACTGAGTTATTCATGCATTGTTGAATGAACCGTCCCAATTTGCCATTTGTTTAATAGAATTTTTTCAAATAATCGAAAAATCTTCGCAATGCCAGGATTAATCTGTGAATCCTATGACATCATCAGCTGGATGATGAGGATAAATGAAACTAGCGAAATCCATTCGGGTCGATCAAAATATTACAATTGAAGAGGATTTCACATTTACCCCGAGGAAATGAAAGAATCCCGACATTTATTTTGTTTCTTCACTACAAGAAACGACAATTGAGTTTATTCTAGCCATCGGTAATCTCTTTGCTGTTACGATTCAATGGAGAATTGCCCGAAAGTGGCTCCTTCGAAGCCCAAAATGATTACACGAAATCGAAATGAAAGAAGCGCTACACGCGGAGCTGTTAAAAGAAAAACGACAATTCCTAGATGAAATCTTACCTGGATTTTGTTGATGCTGATAAGACGGCCTCTTAATCCACTCATAAGGACTCCTGAGCTGGGTGGGCCTCATGGGTGTACTCGATGCACTGTTATTATTCGGTGCATTTGAATTGTTATTATTACCAGTTGGTGAAGAAGGTGTACCAGGACTGCTGATTTCACTTCCACTGACGGTGATGGGTGGACTGGGTTCACCAGTGCCAACGCCATTATTATTTCCTTCATCGCCACTCCAATCGCCAACACCATTGATCTGTGTCTGGTGTGCAGGCGTCGGTTCATTCTGCTGTGACTGGTACATCTGCTGGTGATACTGCTGAAGATGTGAATAAGGATGTGCATGCGCGTGCCATCCAAATACATCAGGATGATCGAGATACTGTTGCGCCGATGATGCCTGATGATGCCCATAACCAGGATGCCAGTACTGCTGACCACCTGGTTGCTGATGGGCATGCTGATGCACCTGGACATGCTGCTGACTCGGCTGAGCCAACTGCTGAGAGTTGGCATTCTGCTGCTGCTGCCTGTACACCGACAGATGATTGTAGTATGATACCATGCTTATCTCCGTCATTTGTACACTGATCTAACTTAAAACACGATAGTCCCTCGCCCGCCAGTCGCACTCCTAATGTTTGTTCTCGTTATCACAATCGTAGAACACTCAAATTATCTCCACATATCGCATCAGCTTCAAGCTGAATGGTGACCATCAAACGGAAATACTTGATATCGATGATGCTAGGGCACTGAGTTCATCATTCAGATGTCGATTCGACAGAATCATTCACTCGGTGGAATTGTCTCTGCTTGCACACTTTTTTCTCCACTTCACTGAGTCATCAACCTACTGAACTCCCTCAAGATTAAATGGAAGAAAATGAAAACTCCCTCTCAAATAATCGGCTTTAGGTAAATGGAATTAATTATTTCTGCTTTACGGAGGCACCTCAGTGGTAAGTCAGATTTTCACGATGTTTCACCGACGACTGTCTCGGTGTCTTTGAATTTGTTCAGACTGACTTGTGAACTATGTTGGGGTAACGCCTACCAGTGCCGCATCGAACTCCCACTCTTACTACTCAACTGTTGGACTCAGCCAATCGGGGAGAGGCTTGAACACTCTGACACTGTAATGGCGCCTTAGTAGCATGTTTTGGCATCGTGATTATCCGACACATCACGGCTTACGATGCTTCACGCCCCTTCCTCGTTGGGTATTTCGATGGGATTTTTCGGGTTGATCGATTAAGGGGTGGATTGTTCTAATTGCAATTATATTGTTGAGAGTTATTGTTCGGGGATCGAGTTTAGTCTAGAGTTTTTTAAATCATTTGGAAATTTGGGCGCAGAATTCGGGGGGAGTCGGCGGATTGTTTGCTTGAGGGGATTTCGTTGTTTGTTGATCTCAGGGAAGTTGATGATTAAGGAAATTCGGGTAATGGTGGGATAATCGGGTTGAGATCTGAATTGTAAATGGATATGTTGTTTATCTATGTGAGTTGGGTTTATTGAAGGGATTTGACTTTTGACGATTGTTTTAAGATCGTTTTTTCTTCACGATTTTTCGTCGCAATCGCTTCGGCGAGGAATTTATTTGGATTTTCGGGTGGGATATTTGGTGTTAGGGGTAGGGGAAGGGGCCAGGTATAATTGAGGCTTGTTCCAGCGCTAATTGTGTAAATCGGATAGAACAACTTATTGGTTGACGGATTTTCGGGTAAATGTGAAGGATAAATATTAAACGTTGCAGGTGATATATGACGTGATTGTTTTGTACATATTGTCGATCATGGCTGCTATCTTAAATTTTTTAATCCTATTCCGGTGGACGGGTTTTTTTGAAGTGTTCATTGTGGCGGTGTGATATTAGCACTCAAGTCTTTAGACATTTCATTGAAATTTCAGTAGATATTATCAACTCATCGAGAACTGATATCAATCTTGCATACGGATTTTACCTGAATATTAAAAAAAAAAATCGCAGGACTTTAGTTCACTGGCTGATATTGCGGATGCAACTGTAAAAATTTTCCGAAAGATTGGATTAAAATTGAAGAGCAGTTTTTTTAATGGTCATTTTACTCGGGAATATGGAAGCGGTAATTTAATTGAATGTTTATTTATTTCTCTGAAAATAATGGCCAATAAATTAGTTTGCACCTTTTGTTTTGTTAGCATTAGAAATTTAGTGAAGCAGTTGTGCCTGTGTTTGATAGGAAAACTTGAGAGCTTGGTTTATCGGGTGTATTAGGGGGAGTGAGAATAATTTATAACGATTTATAGAGAGTATCTCGACAAACTTTTTGAAATCCTTCATTTACCTTGTTCTAATGTCATGAAGCAACAGTTGACGGAGGTGAATCAGAAGTTATAAATATGAGTGAATGTGGAATTAATTGATGGATGTGTTCATCTTATGGATTGTCGGAGATCTAACAGTTCCTCATGATGTTGAAGATATTTATTGGAGTCTGCGTGTCTGTGAAAAGATTCAATGGAAATTAATCCTCCATTGAAAATTCATTTCTCATTGATGCAATTTATGACTGCTATCATTTTTCATTTACCGAGGCATTCAAACTCAAGTAAAAAACGTCTTTCCACTCACTTCTCCCAATCCTATTCTGCACTGGAATAAATCACCTCAAAAATAATGAATATTTTTTATTGTTTAAATGAAGAAATTCAACTTCATGAATGATTTTGGAAATTGAAGGAATTTTTTAAATTCTGAAATAAATTGCAGGTCTATGGAATGATTTCTGAATTCAAATAGTATATAATTATTTTAAATATAACGTATATATTTATATTTATGTTTAAAATATATTTGATTCATGATTTTTTTTTCTGTGTGAAGTGGATTTTCATTTTCATCTGCCAGGACTGGCACCATCGCAAGGTTCCGAAAATCAGGACAAGTGCTGGATAATCTTCGGTATAATGGCAAATCCTTTGAAATCCTCGGGCTTATGTACGTGTCAAAATATTGACAAGCGTGTCGCATTCTCAACCCTTTTCGGACTGCGCTCCGTTGGTTACGCTCCGCCTTTGGGGCGGTCTCATCTCCCACTTCTCCATTACGGGAAATCACGCAATTTTTTTGAGTCCAGTTTTCCCAGTGTATTAATCGGAACGAAGTAGGATTTGCTCGTTTTGCGAGAAAAAATTTACGTAATCTCACTATAGATAAAAACATTGAACTAAGGAAACATGAAATTCTTTCTAAATCTTATCATTTCTTTATTTATATCATTATCATTACTAAAAACCTTGGAAAAAATCATTCCGCCATTTCTTTGTAGTTTTAATAATTCTTTCTCACAGTTTTCATACGAGATGTTCATTTGCATTCACTTTATTTATTTACGTAAATAAAATGCTCATTTAAAATGAATGAATTTATTTATTATTTATTTTAAATTATTTCATTGCTTTTTTGATTCGAAAAAAAATATTTAACTGGGGGATCTATTTAATTTAATTAATTATTCATTTCAATTTCTCGTGAGAAGGTTCGGAGACCAGAAAAAAAAATTCCATTTGATTATAATAAACCATTTTTTTGGGCGTGGGGTTGTGGTGCATAAATAACGCCGGCATTTGTGGGGTTTTTTAGAAAATTCATGAGGATGTATTTCTTCTTTTTGTGGATGAAGACAGTCTTCAACAATGGAGGAACATTGTCGTCATTAGGTTCCGGGTATTGCCGTCATAATTTGCGCAACAGTGCGCAATGCAGAAGGACCAGCGGTTGGAGCACAATGACTCCTGCGGATTGTCATTCGTATCCCCAAAAGTGGTCGAAAATTGACTTCTCTTTGAAGGATCCAAGTACTTTGTCAGTCCCACCAGTCAAAACAGCCCCCACGCGCCAATACGACACGCTTTTAGGGATTTTTCCGGGAAAACCACCAAGAGATCCTCTAACGCAGCAGCAGCAGGAAGTCCCTCAAAAATTAAATACTAAATTTATGGCAATTAATGATTTTAAATTATGATGACAGAATCACAAAAAGCTCCCCTTTTTATTTTATTAATACCTTTATCAGAGTTTTTATTAATAATTCATTTATTTTTCTCGTGATGATCTTCATTTACAAAAGTGATAATCAAAATTGAGTGATAAATCAATAACGATAAATAAATTACTGATGGAAAAATCATAATTCAATTATATTGCAACTATTAGCACTTTTGAATTAATTGAGAAAATTATTTTGTGATATTTGAGTGATCTGGCGGTAATTTTGTATCGAAAATTGTAGTATTGAATATTGAAAATTGTATCGATTTAAATTAAAATGTCAGAATAAATGTTTAGGGCGTACAATAAAGATGAAGATTGACCGAAAAATTGAATTCCGAAATAAAATCAAAAGTCAAATTTTCCGATTAACTTTATTTAACACCCTCAGTGTTAATAAAAAAAGTCCATGATTTTTGCAATAAAATGTTAATCCGGTGAAATAGCTGTGGGATAATTTACAAGTGCCTAAAAGGCCCCCAAACATTCATGGGTACTCAGTAAAATAAAAGAATAAATGGAACACCATTGAAAAATGTCTCCAAGTGTCCCAGGGGATGATAGACCCCCGCCCCCAGGGGGTACTCCTATCCATGAATGAGAGTAAACGATTTTTCTGGAGAAATGTGGAGCGCGTCATTGGCAATAAAATTTTACCGTTTTAATTAAAAACTTTAGGATGTCTTTCACCTATTGTAATAATAGCCCCGACCCACGCATCGAGGAAATATTTCTCTTTTCAAATATACAACGGTAAAATCCTCACGTTTACACACCCTTGGAAAAATTCCAGTGTCCCTTTGGGCCTTTTGTTCGAATGGCTCGACGGTCCCAATGATTGCTCCACATTGTAGTTACCTCTTTATAAATACCCAAACTGTCAAAGCCATTTCCCAACCATAGAACAATTAGAGAGGTACCTGTAGGTACAGCATTTTTGGGGTGTAAACTTTACCTCAGTCTGTCTTTGTTTTTCACACGGTGACTTTGTGCCTTCGATATTTTTCCCATTCAATGGAAATAGTCTCGGAGTTGGCTTCCAGGGGTAAATGCTCGCCACTCCCGCCAAAAACTGCGAGTGTACCTCTGGGTTAACCCCCGTTGTGAATTGCCACTTTAACTTTAACATTTTGCCACCAATTTCTTACTCTCTTTCTCCCTCTTACACCTTTCTGGCAGTCACCTTCTTGACTGTTTCATTCTCACCTTTCACTCATTATTATTGCTGGCACTTAAGGATTTTTCTCCCTCATTTGCCACACCCCCCCTCCCCCCTTCCCCGGCATCCTCGGATTAGTCGTTTATTTGTTGTTTGGAAGGGATATTTCAGGATAAATTGTTGATTACTTTTTTAAACAAATTATTTTTTTCTGTTTATTCTACATTTAGGGAACATTGTATTTAAATTATTTGACGGTTTGTCACTGTTTTTTTTTTCTTATTAAATGGAATAATTCTAGAGAAATATTTTCATAATCTTGGAAAAAAAAATTGACACTGGATATTTATAGTTCCTTGCTGTGGAAATTTTCAATTTTTTCTGGAGAAATAGGAGAAGTAAAAAAATCTTTCATGCACATTTTTATTTTGTGATTACTGTCATTTAAAATTTGGGGAAAGCTCTGTCGATTAATGGATAATCATTGAATTATGGGGAAATAAAATATGCCAGGTTATTACTTTTTAAAAGTTTAAGGAGAAAATATTCTTTTGTCCATCCATTCACCCCGCCTTCCATAAAATTCAACACAAAACATAACTGCACGTTTACCATGAATTCTCGGAAAATTCACTTGGGGTACATCGGCCGACAAAACATTCTAACTACCCTATGGCGTCTCCCACTCTTTCGACCCCTTTACGATAGGAGAGTTTTATAGGGGTAGTGGGACGCCAGGTATTCCACCATTACAGAATCTATTGGCCAAAAAGACCCAAACATTTTTGTTAACAGAAAATACCCGATCCGTTCCTAAATTTCATGCTCAAAATCTTTTGAAAAATCCGTAAATATTTATCTCAAAGTGTACAGCACAAAGTACAACAGAAAACATGAAAATATCCAATAACTTATTAATTAGTTTAAACAATCCCAGTGAATTTTTTTTTGTATTTTTTCTTAGAATTTTACACTGAAGTCCAGAAAAATTCAAAAAATGAATCGTCTCACTTTTTTCGATCAAAATATCTCAGAAAGATAATACGATAAAATTTAAATGAAATTCGAGTAGATATTTTTCCATTATTTTTTTTTAATGCATTCAAATAAAAATAAATTGAATGGAATAGAAGGAGAAATATGAATTAATAACTGAAATCAATTTATTTACGGTAAATGGGAGAAGAATTACCCAGAAATTGAGAGATAATTTGTAAACGATATCCGGTTCTTCGAAGTAAAAATGTGGTGCAATGAGGGGCTCATCATGAGGGTCATAACGATGTCCCCAGAGCCTAAATAGTACTATATTTCAATCTAGGAATTTTTCTTAAGCCCCCATAACTCTTTGGCGTCATTTTCAAGCGGTCAATTTCCAAAGTCCACTGGTATCATCACGGGTGAAGGGTTACAGAGTCTCATGAACATAAACATTTATTGACCTGTAAAAATCATCTAGTTTGTTCGTATGCTGCCCAAATCCTTCCAACAATTACACATATTAATTGTCTACCCATGGGCTTTACCACTCGCCCAATTGCCGCAATCATGAAACATTGTTAACCGGCTACTGTTAATTCGCCCTGACTTTTACCATCGAATTATGCCGAGTAATCATCTCACTCCACTTTTCTCTTCATCATTCTGTTTGTCATCAATATTGACTCATTTTTACAACCTTAATCCGTCAATACTTCATCCCATTTTCTTCACTAAATCCATTCCAGCGAATTCACATCACATGAAATAATGACAATTACCCGCTATTTTCAATATATTTTTCGAAATATGAATTTTACCGTATAACCCTGATAAAAAATGCAACAAAATCAGATCTCTTCGTAAATTATCCCTCAACTACCGCTACAAAATTGCACTTGAAATATTCAACCAAAAAAAAAAACAAACAATTTAATTAATTTCTTGAATACTCAAATAATTCTCGATATTCCGGTTCATTAAATCTTGAAAATCCTTAAAAATAAATGTCGGAATGAAGTTTAGTAGATAATTCACGTAAACAATCTCAATTGAACTTAAATCCAAATGGATGGAATGAAAAATTCAAATGACACAATTGTGAGTGAAATTTCCAGAAATATCCAGCGAGAAATGGCAATTTAATACATAAAAACGATAGAATGGCTTTTTTCGTGGAAATAACTGTCATCATTTTGATGTTCCCGCGCTCAAAAGCACCGACTTGCCCTCGGTTAACAAAAAAGTATAGATATTCGTTTTTATTCAAAGCGATAAAAAGTTAGTGATAGGTATATATCGGTGGAGCGTTGAGTTTCAAAGCGCATCTGAAAAATGCCCGCAGGGCTAGAGCGTTGGACATTAATTGGCAGACATCTTAGTTCGTTGGAGCGACTCTCCGGACGGCTTTAATGATCAGCCTGTAAAGGTGTTTTCGATTTTTATTTTTTTACGACCATCAATAAAAGCCAACATACATACACACCACATCGTGTGCGCTTTTACACGAGCGCACGTACCCTCTGTCTCATTTCCTCTCGTTTGATCATTCCCTATTTTTTTTTTCTCTTTCACCAGCTCCGACCATTGCACGATTCGACATGATGAACTTCTTTGAAATTCGACGCTACGTTCTCATGCAATTTTTTATTCCCGTCTTGTTTTTTGTAATCCGTTATATGTTCTCCACGCAGCGGGTGGCAATCGAATAAAACACTGCATACACGGAAGAAAAGGAATCCCGGGGGATTTGTTGGATCGTTATAAAATAAGTTCCTCCAATTTTTTTTTAATGCTCGTAGTTATTTCGGTTCCAGGGTTTCTCAGAACGATGAACTTGGCGATGAAGTTGGGATTGACGAGCTCTGATGACTGATCATTTTACTTACCTTCGTGGAACTCTTCTCTGGGGATTTACATCGATCCTTTTTAACGATTCAGTTTTCGCGCCATTTTTTAACGCGTTGAGATAAAAATCTGTGAGAATTTATGTGAACCTGGTGGAAACGTATAGCGCGACCAGAATTTCTAGTGTGAAATTAAAAATTTGTTTTTTTCTTCAGAAGCATTTAGAGATAAAACTGAAAGTCAATAGAAAAATTAATGAGTCATGAGTCGATTATTTTTCCTTTAAGTCCTATTCAATAATCGAGGATAATAGTAATTTAGGAAGTTTTAGGAAAGCCTGTGTAAAAATATCGAAATGCGTAAAAATGTTGAGAAACAAATTTGTAATTTTTATTGACTATCGAGAATTACTATCGATTATTCTCTCTTAAGAGAGTTTAAAAAAAACTTTTGACCGTTGCAATATCTCCCTTATCACAATGTTCCCAGGATGTTTCTCACCCCAGACAGATAACTTGCCACGATAACCACGCCGAAGGGATGCAGCAACCCCCGAACAGCAATTTTCCATCATAACTCTACATAAAATTAGTAACTAAACGCCACAAGTTGGTTACCGAGAGCACCAAGTGTGTCAACGACCCCGAGAAACTCGCCGAAAGGATTCCCCAAAGTCCCATCAACTAATCAACTCATGAAGCTTCCCCGACTCCCCCGATTCCTCCAAAACTGCCTCAAATTTAATTCCACTATTTTACAACCTGATATTTGATATTTGCATTAGTATCAAATCAAGAGTTGTCTGTTATCTCTCACCAGAAAATAACCGAGTTATGATTTCAGCAGGAAGTCTGAATATTATCTCGGTTAAACACGTATCAAGTGCGTGAGCAATGGGGCATGAGGGGAGGGGGTTAAAAAATCATGGAGACAGGGAACAAGACCTAGGCAGAAAGCAAATAAGATGGAAAAAAAAAGAGAGATTAAGTCTGTCCCAAGTTTCCACAGCAACGTTTTCGGTCGTTTTTATAACGGTCATGCATCCCTTCATCTTTCTCACTCTATTTTGCCTCTCGAATCCAGGAGAATCGTGCAAACACGGAGCCTTTTCAAACCGCATTTAAACAATATTAATTTTACAACTGGGATATGGACGGGGGTTGTGGAACGCTTGGTTTTTACCCCTCGTTGTTATCCAGGTACCTTTTGGAAAGTTTTGGTTTTTATGGTGGAAGATTCTCTGGAGGTAGTGGACAACGCTGATGCATTGGTTCAGCGTGACCCAAAGTGGATTGGAGATGGAGGGAATTTTTTTTTTTTTTCTTCACTCGTTTGACGCACACTTTTCGGGTCATTTTATGGCACAGCCTTTGGCGAGGATTAGGCGAGAGAGGAACGGCGGAATTCACGGGGAAAGAGATAGGAGAGGATGGAGTATTCGATAATCCCTCGGCCTTTGACTGAAACCCATGGGATCTGGCGGATAGTTTTTTTGGCGGATTTTCCAGTTCTGCTGGGTCTCAACAGGTGTATTTGGAGAAGGAAATCAGATTGTTCATGTTAAATGATCAGTGGGTTTTCAATGAAACCTTGAATTTTCAGACTCGTCGCGAATATTGAACATCTAATGCAATTCACTTTTCAGAAGCGTCCGAGTTCAGAGAATTTATTGTCTGAATTCGCCCGTTAATTAATAATTCTTTGGATATTTAAGAAATTAATGGATTCGTCAGTGACGAATTTTTCGTATTTTCATCGCATTGAACGTACGTCAGTTCAATTGAAATTTCAATTGCAATTTTCTCGCAGTGTATTTCACGTAAAAGTTTAGTTTCTTTGAGGTTGATTGAAATTTTTGAAATTCAGATGCGAGGATTTGAGGATGGAGTTCGCCTCCATATTTGGACCACGGGATTTTCATTGGGGATGAGGTGGTGGAGCTCATTGGAGAGGCCGTGGAGACTCCGCCTCGTGACTTCTTCTCCGGTCTCAAAACCTTTCCCACTTCTTTTGTAACGGTCTCTTTTTTCGGGCATAATGGACTACCGGTTTTAGCCATATTTCATGCGCTCATGTGGCAAGATCCGGACCCAGAGAATGCGGGGACCGTTTATTTATGGGGGTTGATGGACGTGTGTTCTATGGTTCCGTCGAATTATTTCTATTATCATAACTGGAATAATTGAGATTCTTATTTTAACTAAATAGAAAAGGAAATCAAAGTCAATTCCCACAATTGTCGGCGAAACGATGACTCAGCTGTCAATTCCACTCGATCGAAAAATTCAAAAGTTCAATTCCAATTATTCGCCCTGACCTGGTGTTTCAAAATAATTCTCTAAAAAAATTATTTTGAAAAAGTTGTACCGAATAGATCCCACTGATGATTTATTTTATGAATTAATATCCGCCAAATTGTTGTCAAGGAAATTCCCTTCTATTATATTTATATACAACTTGAAATAATATTTCAGACTTTCAGTTCTATTGAATAGAAATTTTTAATGAAAATTATTTTTATATAGGAAGCCAAATAAATAATTGCTAATTGCGTTTTTCTCGCTGCAATGACTGATCTTACGGCGTTTTGAGTAACCAAAATATTTTTTACGCGTTTCTCAGTTTTGTTTTCTGTTGGTAAGACGACTGATGAATGCCCGCATCCCGACAGCCGACAATTCCTGAAATTTCCAGGTTATCGATCGTGAATTTGGCGGCGCTGCTATCGATTTCTCTAATTCCCTAGACATTTGGCGCGCAAAATAGTTCCACAACTCCGTCGCCTTGGCCGCCCAGTTAAAAACGGTCTCCCAGAAACAACTTGTTGTCAGTTTGAACCAAATAACGGCTCCTTGTGATTGAAACCCATTGAAAAGCGACTACCGAAGTATCAACAGCTGAATTGTAGCAGCAATCATCACGAATCATTCAACAAAGTGAAGTTTTCGACAACTGTATTTTCTCCTGGAATTCTCTTTGAAAAAATGGATCTAGAAGCGTCAATAATCGAACGTCTCCAAGAGCTTCGAAAATGGCAGTTGGAGCAGCAGGAGAAGCTGCTGCAGCAGCAGCACGAGCAGCGAGAACAGCTGACGATCGAGCAAGAACGTATGTTCGAGGCTCTGGGACTGAAAGATATGATTTCCGACGACAGTATTCTCGATCAGCTTTCCACATCCACAGGAAAAGTCATTCATTCCCCGGTGAAACAGTCTAACGATTGCAGAAAGGTAGTTCATTCCCCAGTGAAGCATCTGAACGACTCGAGATCATCTGATTTGTCTCGTTGCTCATCCCCAATGGTGACAAGGTCGACAACATCTGAGAGAGCTTCAGACTTGGAGGATCGTCCGCTGTTGCAGCTAAGTGTCCCAGCTCTGCGACTGACCTCCTCCAGTAGTGGATTATCCAGCTTCAGTTCTCCAAGAAATATTCAGAGTCACAATCCATCCTCGGACCATGGTTACGAGTCAGAGAAGATCGTGGAGACTCCTAGAGGCTCCACGGTGTCCTCGAATGTCTCCGTGGAGGGAGTCGAACCTCTCCCAGTGGATAAATCAGTCCAAAAATGCCTGACAATGGACGATGTACCTGTGCCCTCCCCGAAGAAGGACTTTAACACACTATTAGAGGAGAGACTGCGGGACTCACCAGCAGTAGAGGAATCCCACAACGACCAGAAAAAGGTAATAAAAAGGCCCTTCCTCAAGAGAGGAGAGGGTCTAGCCAGGTTTAAGCCCAATCCTAATGGCAACCTGCGATCATCCACAAGACCCAGAAGTGCCTCGTTGTCAGCCATGGGGTACACCCAGAACACCAAAAACAGTGGGAAGAATAAAGACACTCCAAAGTCCTCAAGGGCTCACACATCTCGGAGAAGTGCCCCCTCAATTCCCCCAGTACCTCAGAAGCTGAATCTCAAGGCCGTTCCACCCCCGCAAAAGAAGGTAAGAAGTAAATCGTTGTCTGCAGCTGTCCCCTCACCACCAAAACCTCCAAGACCCACCGAGAGCACTACAGTGAGAACAATTAAGTCTGGGGACGATTCTAATCCCTCAGACCTTGACTCTTCGAAACTCGAGACCAAAATGTTTGAGTTCCTAGAGGAAAAAGCTGAAAACTCCAGTTTCTGCTCTACCTCCAGTGCTGTCATAGCTTTTATGCAGCAGTCAACACCTCTGAAGCTCAGGAGCATCAAGCAAAAATTGAGCACACAAACTGTATCTCCATCAAAATTAAAACAGGGATCTCCAATTCGAGCTATTCGTGAGACGGTAGTGCAGAAGGACATTGTGATATCCCAGTGGGATTCTGGACCCTTTCCAGAGGATAATACCCCTGCTCTGGCGTTCACCAACAGCCAGAGGGATATTAAGAAAATTGTGGGGGATAATTTTCAGGGCTCCCAAGAGACCAATGCACAGATTCTTCTTTACAATAATAATAATGTCGAAGAATTTAAGAATGTGGAAAGTGACTCCAACGTCTCCACCAGCACAGAGATGGATTCTACGCTAGAGGAAAAGTCTGAGGGCTATCCGGGTAATAATAAAGAGACGAATGTTAGTATGCATGTAAGATTCGCTGAGTACAATGAGTACAAGACGATAGGACTGACTGACACTTCGATGATCTCCACTGACTCTCGTCATGAAAATTATGGGAATAATTATAGAGATAAGCTCTGGAGTGAGTCGGCTTCGTCAGAGTCGTCAGATCACGAGAGTTTCAAGGGAGAGCTCCCCCAGAATGTTATGAAGACCAATCAATCGAGTTATAATCGATCCAACGTGAAGTACCCTTCGAAACCTAAACTGTTGGGGTCTATGCAGCCTCGAAATCTCCAGGATTACGAAGATTCAACAGATCACAGCACAGACGAGGAGCACTCAGTGTTAAACGACTCCGAGGGGACATACTATGATGATGACAATACCATCTCCGAGCTGCAGGAGGCAGTGAGAAAGACGATGGAGAGTTACAACGAGAAGGTTAAAGAGTTATCTCTTGAAGACATCCCTCCAGCCAGAGCTCCGGGGGATCACCAAGATCTTGACGAGGGGACAATTTTCAAGTCTGAGCTTTTAAAGACTCGTCTCCTAGAGCTAGAACGTGAGATAGATATTTTCAGAAGGGAAAATACGAAGTTGGCAGCTGAAAAGGAGAAACTTGAAGAAGAACATCGTCGACGATTGAGAGAGCTCAGAGAAAAAGAAGACAATCTAGAAAAAGAGAGGATCAGAATGGAGACGTCACTGCAAGAGGAGAAGAAGAGGATTGTGAGGGAAAAATCAGCACTGGAGAGTCGTCTGAAGGATGCCAGGGAGAAGTCCATTCAAACGAAACAAGAGCGCCAGGAGGCGCAGGTATTGAAGGAACAATTGGAAGAATTGAGGGATGAGATGAATGAGAAGGAGCAGAGATGGCAGGCGGCCCAGGCTAGGCAGAAAAGTCAGATGAGGGTTCTTCAGATGGAGAACACCAAGTTGAGGCAAGATTTGGAGAGGGTGCAGTCTGCTAAGAGGGGACCTGCTAGACTTAAGAGACCTGGCACCATGTCCAATACCAAAGCTATTCATCAAATTAATAGGCAATTGGATGGTAAGAGGAGTGCTCCAAAAAAATCCCCAGAACCCCTGACAGAGGATGATATTTTCATTAAATCAGGTGCGGAAATTCCTGCAAAAATTAATTTGAATATCGATAAAGATTTAGTATCGTCCAATGACACTGGCAAAGTTATTGTCTACGAGACTTCACAGAGGGCAATACCCACTGAGGAGGAAATAGAGAAACGAAGGAATATGTACCAGGATCTGCTGAAGGAGGCTGCGAGTGGCTTCAAGGGGCATGTCATCAAGAAGAGTGAGGAGAGAACTGAGAATGATGAGGTGCTGCAAAAAGAGAATACTGAGGTGCTGTCTGGGCCTCCGATTGTTCCAAGAAATTTTTCTGTTGGGAAGGAAGGGGGTGGAGTTAGGACTAGTACAAGTCCTAGTGTGCTCAAATCGACTGAAAATATTGAGTCAAGGGGATCGTACCAGCAATTTGTTCGGGAGGTGTTAAATCCGAGAATTGAGTCGAGACTGCAGAGTTCAGGATCCTCGTTGAGTGGCCACCATTCAACGACTCAGGAATTCGGGAAGATTGACTCACAGGAGAAGAGTCAAATTTCTCCTCCCGGAGTGCGATTTGCGGGCGTGGACACTAGTGAGACTGACTTGATCCCTCGTCAACAGTCCGAGCATCCTCTCCCTAAGCCTGTGGATAGCCTGACACCTCGACAGGACCTTGTTTCCATCAGTCAGCTATCTGAACTCTCGGGACAAGGTGTTAGTCCTCAGAAGCAGCAGGTCAGGGAGGTTCTTCATCCTGATGGGTACACTGAGTACTGGTATCCTAATGGAAATGTCAAGAAGGTCTTTCCTGATCGCAACATCACGAAGATGATTTATTACAATGGAGATGTCAGAGAGACCACTGAGGAGGGATGCATCAAATATTTTTATGCTGCTACCAAGACCTGGCACACTACTTATCCCGATGGGTTTGAGATTCTTGAGTTCCCGGATGGCCAAGAGGAGAGAAGAACCACTGATGGGGTCATTGAGGTCTCCTTTCCCGACGGATCCATTCGACTGATGCAGCCTGATGGAGTCGAGAAGTGGGTCTTGCCTGATGGCACTGTCGCTGAGACCTTTCCCAACGGCGAGAAGATCCTGTCCCTTCCCAATGGACAACGCGAGGTTCACACGAAAGACCATAAGGTGAATCCTCATCCAATTATTTATTTTTTTTTACAAATTATCATGAAAATATCTTGAGATCTGTTACGCGTGAAAAATTCTTGGAAAAACAGTAGAAGTGTCTCAATGAATGAATTAATCATTTCTCTTCTAATTTTTCAGAGACGAGAATACCCTGATGGGACAGTGAAGTACGTATACCCAGATGGCACTCAAGAAACTCGCTACTCCAATGGTAGAATTCGTGTAAAAGATAAGGATGGTAATCTTCTGCGAGACTCGCATCAATCATAATCCCACGAATTAAGGTTTACTTTTAAATTTCAATCACGTCCAAGGTTTTTAGAAAGTACAAACTACTCTTAATGATCCATACAGAAAAACCAATGAGATATTAACAACGATTACTAAAAGACTGTATATTTTAAGTTTAAATCTCCCAGACCTCTGTAAGGCCTTTGGACACAAAATGACCAATATCTTCGTCAATAGAAGATAAATGTACATAATATACTGAATATTTTTGGCACGACACCAAATTTCCAACTCCTTTAACCACCTCTCCCAATCCTCACAAAAATTCAAAAAATAAAGAATAATCAATATTTGTACTAGAGATATGAGCAATAATTCGTTGGGTAAAAACTGCTGTGGATTTTAAAAGTCCCGGGCTGTCGGAACGAATAACTAGACAAAAAAATTTTGATAATTACTTAGCAGATTTTGTGAGACAAATACAATCATTCCGACAGCCATCAAGATTTAAAGAGACCAGAGCAATTCCCCTGAATGACGAAGTAACCACCTAGGATGCATTATCATCGAGTTTGGTTGCCTGTTCACTCTTTGTACATTCCTCCAGCATCACAGCCAGTTCCCGCACCTGTCGATCAATTGGCGTGACATCAGGCTCAGTCTTAGTAACAACATCAAGAACTTCATTAATGGGTAATTCAATCCTGACTTTGCTGCTTCTCCTGGGTAATCTCGTAACATTAATGTCTTGCAGTGTACATATGGCAGCTTTGAAGGTGACCATGGCATAGGATAATCCGTCATAGGGTGAGACAGACCACAAAAAATTCTGGATGTAGTGAAGATCAGTGATGAGTCGTCGTGGTCGTGATTTAACGATTACGTATATCAGGAGGGGAATGAGGTCGTCAGTGGGTACGATTTTTATAGTTTTTCTGGCTTCGATGAGGTCATTCTCCTCATAGCACTCGTTTCTAGTCTGCACATCAGCCAAGGCGCCTTTAACTTCAGCGACGATGAGGTCGAGGGTGGTCTTGAGACATGACAGCTTCTCCAGGGGACTCTGACGTGCGTCCAATGTTGCCATCTCCACAATTGCCGAGGGCAAAGAAATCGAGAGGGCCTCCTTCACACCCAACTGATCTGGTGTCACCCCTACGTCCAGCAAGTGATCTATCTTCCGTTTTATTCGCTGGTCGTCCTGGTCTAGAGCATTTGTCAATAGCACGTATATTCGATCGTGTAGGTAGTGCATTATAAAAATCTCCAGGGAGGTGCTCAGGAGCTTCTGAAAACGTGCATCACGCTGAATATCTAGAGGGAAGAGGCGCATTGTGCGCGCCCAATGCCGACGAATCCAATCCTGCAGGACATTGCGAAGCTCCTCGGCTGAGTGGAAATCAGTCAGGTCAATCTTCTCCACGTCGGATTTCAAGTCCAGCAGAGACAGCCGGCCCTGTAGGGCTATCTCGTGGAGAAAATCAAATGCTCTGGAAGTAATAAAGGATATCGCTATGACAATTACTGACGATGAGGGAAATATATTTAAAATCAATGACTAATTGACAGAAAAGTAAATTAACTTGTCGGGGTATTAGGATTGAATATTTCAACTTACTCTTTGTAACAATTGACACTCCGATTCAATTTCATTTTGACTCCAACAGGTCTGCGAGCACTCAAATACTTGAGGTCCATCACATTATCAGTAATGAGTATATTGTACATTTGGAAATCACTGTTATACCCCCTCTCGACACTGAGAATCTTTACTCTGTACTGATCTGGATGCACAGATTCCCCATTTCGCTGGACCAGACGAATTCTCGTGTCCTCAAATTTGTACATTCGAGAGCCATCGCTGTCCGTGGATACGTAGTGATATGGCAACTTGCTGACAGGCTTCAGAATGTGATCATCTGTAATTAATCATAGAATATAATTCAAATAAATTAGTAAAATGAGATGATCTAACTGGGCGAATCTTTCGTAAAGATCTCGAGAGCTCAACCCACCGACAAATTCCTCTGTTATTGTGAGATCCTTGACGAAATCACTGCAGGGCACACAAATGGCCCAACACTTGGATACAGCAAGATCATATTTCCGTCTGAATTTATCCTGTAATCAGAAATCAAACATCTCCACAAACTAGCAGATTCCATCGAAATGTTTTTATCCTGGTTTTGCTATTCTCATTCACAACAAAATATCAAAGCTTCATTTTCCAGAGATTCACCCTCGCAGAAACTCCTCGACATTTTCCCAGCACTTACTCCCATAGTATCTAATCACCTGATCACGTGCATTTCTCATTAACTAATGACGAAATTACTGATTGTTTGACTAACCCTCAACACGAGAAAGAACGGATTGAACGTTATTTCATCGATGTCCATTCTGCTCCAAAATGGTACTGCATTCCCAGTGCTCTGGAACCCAAGAACTCCTTGAAATTCTCACTCCAATACTTCAATGCACATTTATTCCACAAAATGTTGATAAAACATACACGATTGCGCACGTTACAATCACGGTGTCATTCCAGCGACTTCGTGCCTGCTCCGAGAATTCCGTGTTGATTCAATAAAAATGCGCATAATAACCACGTGGTTTTCCACGTTCTTTTCCTTCAGTCGAGTCCTTCGGAATAATAATTATCAGTCGCTCGATTATTTCACACTCCACTCGCAGCATTATCGAGGTAATCGGAGTCGATTTCCCTTCGCCAACTGTTTGTCGCTGTCTCCGTCTCTCCTGACATTTTATTGTCAGACAGCTGATGGGTGGGGGAAATCAGCTGGCGCCATCCAATCGAAAAGTCCGGAGCCGTGAGCACTAATTGGTCGGGCTTTTAAATTTATTATTTACGGTACAATTTATTACTCCGTGCAATTTTTCAGTTCAATTCGCTAGTCCTAGAGTGATATTCATTCGGAGTGAGATGATCAGTTTTTGTTGTAATTAACGGGCGTTGGGACGCCGTGGCGCCCTCCCAAGTTGGCGTCCAAAAAATTGGAAAAGGGAAAGCAAATCGTATGGTCAGAAAATATTGTAAACATGTGTTTATCTCGTGCAATTGTCGGAGTCATGTGTACAAAGTGTCGATTCGAGATTAATCCGACAAGTGACGGATCGATAAACCATCGGGGGTCATTGGCCGTTTAAATAAATGCCATTCTTTATAGACATGAACTTATCGATTTTCTCATTGTAATTGTTGTTATAAAACGTGCAGGCCATATAGGGTTTATTGCTATGAAAATCAAGGGTGGAGATATTTCAGTTATCATTGAGTAAGTGAACAATTTTTTAATGTATGGTGTCTTGTACTCTATTCAGGAGTTAATGAACAGCGAGGCAACTTCTTCGATAACGGTGATATAATTGGAAATTTTTGCTCACTTCAGCATTTTTTGAATGATCAGGTAAGTTTATGAATTAAATAATCAGGAATTTCTGCATAATTGTTTTTGCAAATTTACACGACGATCATTCAACTTGAAATATTCGCGTTATTAATTTTCGCGTTTCCAAAAACTGGCAAATTCAGAATGTGTCAATTAATATACCAATAAATAATTAAGAAGGGAATAATAAGTTGTACATTTATTCTACGTCTCAAGGCTACATCGGTTGGAGGTTGAATTTAAAGGAAAGATTAGAGCTATTTGAATAAATTTGACAGTTGTGAATATTTTATGAAATGTAAAATATGAAAGAAGAATTTGAAAATTCCTAAAACGGGGACAGGCTTCAATCGACTTGACTTGGTTATTGAGGTAATAGAATATTCTACTGGTTTCATGTTTTTTTCATTGGTGCAATTCGTACAAGGTTTTATTTAGCATTGATTGACTGTTTAGTAATTTAATGATTATTTTTCATTGATAATATAGTTATCACTCTTGGGAATTCTCTTGTCTGAGTGTGACACGATAAAATTCCGGGAAAACATAATTTCTGACATCACATATTTTTATTTGGTTTTTGAATTTATGAATTTTCGAGGCACAAATCGAAATCTGGGAATTTTCATTAACGAGTTAATAAATAAATTACATTACCATTTTCAAAAAATAAAAGTTGTCTGAAATATTGAGAAATTCGCTGGATTCGGAAATATTGTTATTGAATTTCCTACAAGAGTTTCAAAACACCTTCCATAATTCAGGGATAACTTTCCCATATTTTTTATCCCATGACCGTGACCCGTGCTTATCCGCAAATTGTCCACTCCATCTTCGCTTTCGAGGAAATCATTCGATAACAGAAAAGATAAACCGCCTGAACAAACCCAGACGATGCTCCCTAAACAGCCCATAAATAAGCTCCCCGAACTCATAATTATTTATCACTCGTACCGCTCACCCGAGAATTTCAAAAATTTTATCTCACGGTTCATGAAGACATTGACCATCGGCGCCTATCAGAGCTGACCCCCCGGTGCGTGAACAATTAATCCTGCCGGTTAATTAAACCGGAGAGCCCACAATAAAGACAATGTCACTCTGCGTCATAGCATTTCATTTCATGATCATGCGTGAGTAAATCGTTCCAGTGGAGAGAAAGGAGACTTCATTCGGAGATTGTCTTTGTCAACAGACAGTGTATGGTGTGGGTACAAAAGTGGGCGAAGAGGATACGCATCTGGACCATCGGTACGTAATTTCTCATCTCCACCAGCAGTGAAAATCATTAAACCAACTGCGCAATTAAAACAGACAAACCCCTAAACCAGTGTAATAAAATAATAGCCGCTCCCATTTCCACATTAAACCAGAATTCATAAAAAACTCAGTTGCTTAAATAAGCGTTCGTGATGCTGAGAGCTGTACTAATTTCAACGAAAGACTCAATTCTTCGATAGGATTGAGTTTAAGTTGAAAAGTTGCAGCTGCTATGAACCAAGATTACTGTGTGTCGCATAGTTTTGAATGAATTATAATAATTCCACGGTGAATACTGCTTTAATCAGCGGAGGATCGAAAAAACGAGTGTCCACGTGGATAAGATATCTCCAACAATCATTTCTAACTCTCCGTTGCACGCATGGCATTAGTAATATCTCTTCACACTTCTCATCAGATTATTTCCGAAAAAAAGTACTTCAACGTGTTTTCTTACGGAGTACGTAATGAAGTAATTTCTTTCGGTATTTCTAGAGTTATCGAGGTATTAGATGGCGGTGACAGGAACCGACGAGATGGCTTCTCCCACCAAGTTCAAAGAATATCAAGGTACAGTTTTTGAAATCGATACTGATAAAACATGTAAAAATGTATTTTCAAAATAGTCTGCGAAAGATTGTGTCATCAAAATAAATTCAATTACTTCAAAATATGGATACCTTTAGTTTAAACATGTCATATCTCCGTTCTGACATGAGTGATCGTTATTCTATATGGGTGGACGTGTTCTCCTTTCATGAAACTGTTTCATGTATTTGTTTATATACTTTAATTTTTTAATACGATGACGTATATTCTTGTTTCGATCTTAGATGAGGGTATTAGTACGCGCGGTCTCACGGAGATGAATAAAATCGGAAAATACCAGATAATAGTGTACATTGCTGTGAGTTTGCCTCTTGCATTATCGGCGGGATTTACTCTTGGTTATGCATTCACGTCTGGCGAAGTAGACTACAGGTAAGCAAGCGGAATATTGACATTGAGTGTATGTAGCTTCCTCCGAAGTACTTGAGACGTTAACCAATGCTCTTCAGAATCCTCTGCGAGACGAATATGATGGAGATGTTGAACAAAGGTTCTCTGAGATCATGTTCCCTCATTTCCTCATCCTTCGTCAAGTGTTATAATACCCTGAGGGAAATTACTTAGGGATACTTGAGTTGGCGTGATGTATTGAATTTATATCAGGTGTCTCATTCCGGAGTGTGAAAATTCATCAACCGCAAATTGGAGCAGTATCTGGGCTGCCAACTCCAAGCCGAAGAGTGATAGTTCGTTCGGTAGCTGCGAGAGATTCCAAGTGAATGATAATGTCGTTGGAGAGTGTTCGAAGGATTCCTTCGGGGAGAGGGTCGTCAAGTGCGATAGCTGGGTGTATGATCCACTGGAGAAGACCATCCTCAGCGAGGTACACCATGAATTATATCCTTAAATGTCTATCTTCTTAATCATTTCCATAGAACACTTGTCCGAATGGAATAATTGTTAAATAATTAATTTTCAAGAAATTTTAGAATATCCAAGGGATTTGGCAGTGACTATTCGTTTTTGTGGAATTTTCATTTCATCAATTCACATTTATGTTGAGAAAACAGAATTTAAATGATTTTAATTAAGCTCTTGACGATTGATCGGACAATCTTGAACGATAAATTTTAGTTTGTATTCCGGTTTTTATCTAGTGGAATTTTACGTGCAACGAGAATCGATGGAAATTGGCGATGGTCGGAACGGTGAACAACATTGGACAACTAGTAGGATTGATGTTCGCCGGATACTTGTCGGACAGGTACGCGATTTCATAATAAGAAATATTTATGCTAATAAAAATTCAGTACTGTCAGTAAAAGCCAAGGTTTCTGTTCTTGGAAAAATTTCAAGGAGTCTGTATTACGGACTTATAATACACTGAGAAAAAAAATATTTTTGCCAATGAAATTCATTACTGCCATACAAATTAATTTGAAACAACAATTGAAATTTTTATTTTGACCCAGAGAGTTTTGGGAATTGCTTATCGTCGATTTATTTACCAGAAAAAAAATTTGTTCGTCTTGGTGTATATTATTTGCATGAGAGTAATTGCATTATCTTGTGCAATTTCATCTCAGATATGGAAGAAGGACTTGTCTGGTCGTAGAAACCTTCACAAGTGGAATTTTTGGGCTGATCCAGTCCTTCTCCGTTAACTACTGGATGTTCATGAGCATGGAATTCCTCATGTCCGTTGCTGCAGCCGGAATCTACAGCTCTGGCTTCATCCTAGGTAAATAAGCCCCGACCCGACAAATGGCGAATTCGCAGTCATTAGATAAGTCATTAGAAGTGAATTAACGTATGATCAACGAATGATCGAATCGATAATTCTCGAGTGACGAATAGATACCAATAGGTGAACCAATGCATTCATGCTGATCCATCCATTCGCTACTGTAATTACTGCTCGGCAGCTGTTTGGATCAATCTTTACATAGGATAATTGCGTTCATTTCGACTTCTATCGACATGCGACCCCATTTGACATCCCTCAATCTTTCCTCAATCGGCCTTTCACTGAATTCATTGTGAACAGTGTGATAAGCTCGTATAGATACCGATAATCTCTAATCAGCGGATTAATTGAACTCATTTAACGCTCGTTGAGCAGTTGATTGACTTCGTAAACAATTATTGGATGGATCTGACCTACACTGTTGGAACATAACATTTTTAATAACAATTAAATGACATGAAATTTGCGTAGAGTTCCTCATTGACGTATCAGTTCATTTTAGGAATACGCAAGTAATTATTGAAGCGATAATTTTTTTGAGTTCTGAATTGGCTGAGAATGAAAAAAGTCGATTGTCGTTGAAGCTCAATTTTTACCATTGTAGGTATGGAGATGGTAGGTGGAAAAAAACGAGTGTTAGGAGCTACTTTCATCGGGGGAATGTATGCTGTGGGAGAAATGTATCTGGGGGCTGTGGCTATGTTCTTGAAGTCCTGGAGACCGCTTTTGAGAGCGATCTTTGCTCCTGGACTCCTCGCCATCTTTTTGCCCTTCATTGTTCCTGAATCCATTGCGTAAATATTTCTTAATCTTATTTACAACGAAAACCGAGGATTGAAATTTGCAACTTTTTCTGGGAATTCGGGGAATTTAATAATTTTCGAATCACTGAAAAAATTTTCCACCTACTTAAATTTTTTGTAAGGAATAATTTACTCTTCCGATGAATTTATGAATTTATTTAGAAATTTGGAATTCCCAATTTTATAATTTCTTGCCATTTCGGTGAACCTATTAAATGTTGATTGTGAGAACTTTTAATAGAGCGAATTCAACAGGTGAATTTAAAGACCTAGTGATTTTTAAATGTTAACGAAACCATCTGGTCGGGTGATTCGTCTTTTAAATGATTTTTGTGATATGAATATGTATTATGTCTGTCAGGTGGCTAGCAGCGAAGGGAAAGCATAGCGAAGTGGAAAAGGTGTACAAGCGAATGGCGAAGATGAATGGCTTAGAGAACACGCAGATACCATTAAGTATTTACGAAGAGCTGAACGCGACAAACACTGAAAAGGTAAATTCACTTCAGAGAATTTTTCAAATAAATTTTATTTCAATTCAACAAACGTTATATTCATATTTTCTATGCATATATTATAATTATTTTCAAAAAATCATAAATATGTTCTAAAAAATGGAAGTAAAATGAAAAATTGTCTTGGAGGCGTCCGAAATGTGAGTATTAAAAAAATGAATGAATGTATGAATTACAGAAGCCAGAAATTAAATCAAGCAGTGTGCCAGTGCGGGAGGCATTGTCGAGGCCAAAACTGCTCATAAGGCTGCTCGCGTGTTGTCTCTGCTGGTTGACCAATACCTTCGTATACTACGGAATGTCCCTGAATGCAGTGGCATTCGCCGGGGACAAATACGTGAACTTTATATTGGTATCATTAGTAGAAATACCGGCTTACTTCCTCAGTTGGTTGCTGATTGATTACGTTGGAAGAAAACCCACTCTGTCCGGCTCATTCCTCTTCAGTGGAATATTTTGTCTAGCTATTCAATTTGTTCCGAAAGGTAAACAAACCGGGGAACTATTTCGATTCAATTCACGTGCTGTTGTTTTCGCTGGTATTCTCGTTGATTACAATGTTTTTTATTTTTTCTATTCAAGATTCATGGTCATATGCACCGCTACTTCTGTATATGGGCGGAAAGGGATGTATTACGATGGCATTCGCTGCTGTTTATGTTTATACCACTGAAATGTTCCCCACAACGGCCCGACACTTTTTACTCAGTATTTGCAGTATGACCGGGCGCATTGGCTCGATTCTGGCTCCTCAAACTCGACTTTTGGTAAATCAGTTTTTATTGTTGATAAGGAGTACCCGTTCCTCAGGACATTCTTAAATTCTCAGGAGATTTACTGCATTTTTTAAATCACTCACAAACACGTATCGACGGAAACTCATAAAAACAAATCGGATCATGAGTTGGCGATCTGTTTCAGGCGACAGTTGTTGCATCTCTTCCTCTAATCCTCTTCGGCACCATGGGAATACTTGCTGGTGTTGTTTCCCTGGTTTTCCCCGAGACTTTAGGGATAAAGCTACCGGACACCGTGACAGAGGCCGAGAACATCGGGAAACCAAAGAGAACTAAAGATAAAAACATCACGTAATACTGTTTTCAATTTTAGAAGAACGATCCAGAAGAAATTCATAATGATATTTACATAATAAAAAAGTGTTCAATAAGTGACGATCTACTCATCCAAGGATTGTGATGAGATAAGAAAGGAGATATTTATAAAAATTACCCAGTATTCTAACTTACAATTCCGAATTTATTCCGATTGCAGTACTTACGCGATTACATCATAATTGGCGACGAGAAAATAAATGTGAAGGCTCTTGCAGAGTTTTTTCAAATATACAATTTTCTGAAGTCGTGATGTTACTGACTTTACGGCTTCGAAGACAATCACAACTGCACAGCATATTATTTAAAAAATTCACGCCGAGAACATGATTGTGAGTTTTGTGGAGTTTTTCTCAAATATAAAAATTGCTAAAGTTCTGAGTTTGTTATTAATATTTGAGCGACGATACTACTTAGAATAAAGTAAATTGCGGGCATCATCAGCAGGTTTCACTCTTGGTTATGCGTTTATATTTGACGAAGCAGATTACAGGCAAGCGCAAACAGAATATTGACATTAAGTCTGTGCAACATCCCTTAAACTACTTCAGACTTCAACCGAGACTCCTCGATACCCTCTGTAAGACGAGAATGTTGGAAATGTTTGCGAAAAGTGTCTTGAGATCGGGTATCCTCATTTCCGCATCCAACATCGATGTAATAATGTTTCGTGTGAAATGGCCTAGAGTTACTTGAGTTACTATCGCGTATTGAACTCATATGAGGTGTCTCATTCTCGAGTGTGACACCTCATTATCAGTTAACTCGAGCTGTTCCATTATAAACTGTAACTGATTCGAATTGTATGAGAGGAGTACAGAATTAATTTACACGTCATCCTGCAATTGATTTGAAATTCACAGAAAGTAATTTAAATCGTAGAATTTTCGTCTTTCCGGTGCAAAAAATTAGAACTCCATTGAATTTTTCAGATAAAAATGGAAATTCATGGAAATTCTACGAATTTTTCTGCATTGATTTCAATTAAAAGGCTTCCTTTTGAAAATTCAAGTGACAATTGACAATTTCATTATTTTTCCCGCTTGGATCTAATTTAGAAATTCCGGGGTGATTTATTTTTTATTTTCATTTGAATTTTGTTGAAATTGTCGGTAATTTTCAGTTATCGGTATATCAATGAAAGTGATGATAACGTACTTACGACTGAAACATTCGTGAAGTGTTCAGAGATCCTACTAGATGGCACTCAAATTCTCTTTCGCCGTAATCCTTCAAGCGAAACTAATTCGACTTGATATAATGAAAGACGTTGATTATTTTTTTCCATCACTTTTACATTCGCTCGGAGTAGAAATTCTTTTCAATAAGAAGAAAGAAAACTGGAGCTTCTCCCTTTGAATTCCTTCGACTTCATCTTCATCTGAATTTCGTCTATTCAAATTCTTCCTCCATTCCCTTCGCCTTCTTATTCACTAGCAAATTAATTAATCTATAAAATGTGTTCGCAACATTTAAAATATTCCCCATTGCAACCAGAATATTTAAAAAATTAGAATCCTAAAATTAATTTCCAGACGAATTCCGCGGTTCTCTTAAAACCATTATAAAAATATTGATTACATTAAATTATCACAATTATCCGAATTAATCGTATCAATTCTCTCTCTGAGATCCCAAAGATTCAATAAATCATTCAATCCAATTCTTTTTTTTCAGCGTATAGAGATTGGAGGGTTGTTCGATCCCTCAATCGAGTTGGTAACTAGTGTAAATTGAAATGGAAAGAATGGAAAATGTGTACTTATTGCAATAATTTAATGAACGATAGCCCGTTATGACAGAACTCGACTGGTGTTGTAACTAGACCACACCTCGTTATCGTGCGCGTGTTCGTTAGTCCAGTCTGGTTCGTATTATTGGAATGCATAGGGTCGTTGATATCCTGTTGTTACGTGTCGCCTGGTTAATGCTGTTGATTATGAGTTGTGACAGGGAGTACCCAGTGCTCACCACACAGCCGAATCCCGCTGTAAATTTATTACTTATATATGTACCCGTTGTTAAGGTACCAATGTACAGTGCGGCTTCGATTGTATTTAGTAAAAGCCATTACACCTGGCTAATCAAAGTCCATGGCCCTCAATTACTTTAACTCTTTCCCCAAATTATCATGGCAAAGCCACCTTGATCGGACTAACCAGTGGTTTATTAAATTCCACGCAAAATCCCATCACCCAAAAATTCTCGAATTAATGTCTTTAATATTCTCAGCGAATCACTCTAGGTCTTGGAAAGAAAAAAATCTAGATCCTTTGGGATGGTGAGCTTGGACTGATTGACATGCTCCAAGAAGAATAACCCTGGCTTCTAGAAACTTCTCCATTGAATTCATGAATATGTAATAATGCAAATTTACGAACCTTACCACCCCTCCGTTATATTGTACTGAAGAAGTTCAACTAAACGTAATCTTATTGGACAGAGATCCCTAGAAATTCACTCGGCCAGATGTTCTCTCTTCTGGTTTGCCACGCGTATATTAGCTTTGGAAATCGTCAACCTGGGGTATTAAGTATTCTCACATTTTTTCATCATACGGAATTGTCAGAATGTATTTTTTCATTATGCATAAGTTAGGAATGTTTCATCGGCACATTCCACTTTATCAACAACAACGTAACGATTTTCTTCTGCCTTGACTCCTCAAGATAATGAACAATGACATTTCAAGTAGAGCCTGGGGCCCTCGCAAATTTCCTTCCACTGCAAAATTTTCTCCTTCACAAAAGTACAACAGAATAGTCAATTAATTATGTTCTACCCGTTGCAACGAATTCCCAAAATACTTGCAATAAAAGCGCCATTGTATTCTCGAAGAAGGTGAGCCAGCGAAACTAATTGTGACCTAATTACCGAATGAGCTTCTTCAACGTCTTCAGGTTCTTGTTATCGACATTCTGCTTCATTTCCCCATCTCCTTTGTTCTCGGTATCTCGAAATAGAAGATGATCTCGGGAAGAACATCGTACTCCATCCAGGAGATGATCTCTGTACCAATTCATCCATTACCAAATTAAAAAATTATCAAAAATCAAAAAAGTTAAGACAGAAATTCAAGTTAATGAATTAAACTTCATTATGAGAATAAGCGTCACATTTCCCGTATGATTATTTCTGGAATTTTCCTCGGTGTCAGTATGCCAGCTAGAAAATCGGAAATTTCGTTTTTTTATCTGTTCCAAATTGAATTCCACGTTACTCCCGTGAAAATCACTCGTCAATTGTCCACGAACATTAAATTTTTTTCTAGCAGTCTATTTCTGAACTTTCTGTTTTCCATCGAGAGGATTTTATACCCTTCGCCTTCATTTCGAAACAATTCGTAAAAATAGTACATTCGAACTAGTACGCGGGACACTTATTGCCCCTTGATTGTCACATTCGATAAGTCACATCGAGCGAAATAAAAAAAAAGCATTCAAGTTGTCCACTGGGATATCCGGTAAATGTCCGTGGATTTTGGGTGAGCCGGTTAAGTGAAAAATGTCGGCTAGCTTTTGAGAGAAGAATGATAGGACTGTGTTGAACCTATAATGCACCAGCATTCGCCGTTTGCCTTCTCAACTTTTCCAATTTTCTCCTCGATTTACAGATTAGAGGTATGAGATAGTGAAACTCCCCAGTTGGAATATCTCCCCGCGATCACTCGTTTCTTTTGGATATCAAATACAAGCAATCGGAGACCAACCCCAAGTTTCGATATCATCTCCATCTCCAACCAAAATCCATATTCCTTTGTCTTGTCTCTGTAAAAAGATTGACAAAACTTGATCCATGGCACTTGTTATTTTCCCCCAGCATTCACTTTGGAATACAAATTGACTTTTTCCTTTCTTCATCTCATTTTTTTTCTTATGATCTTGTTTTCTCTTTTTTCTGGTGGATGGCAAGTGACAAATGATACATTCGCTCGGTGCAAATATGAGATTACACTCTCAAGGCATCAACCACCGACCCCTCGGTGAAGTTGGAGGAGGCGTGGTTACAGTTTCAAGATTCATAACCAATTCAAATGTACATTCGATTACACAGAGTGTCGTGTCTCGGTGTTACAATGGGTTTCATCCACGCACTTGAATTGTAAATTTCTGATTATCAAATTGGGGATACTCACGATCTTGTTGGAAAGTGCTAATTTGTGGGGCGAGGTGGCACTCAAGTATTATTGAAATCTCTGGGAAAGGGAGTCGTGTCTAATAAATTGACGGAATTGATCGTCATCCACATTTTTTTAATCATATTTCCGTAAGAAATTTAATTAACTGGCATCAATAAGACAATTTCCCAAGAGAAACCGGTTTACTGTTGGCAAAGAATTAAAATTTTATGTGCATCGATTTTTATTTAGGAGAAATCAATTATGCAATTTTATTTCCCAATTTTATTTACAATTTTATGAAAAAATGACGGCAATGGATAATTATGCAGATAGCAATGCATAATCCAGAGCTGAAAAAATTTCTCTAATTAACAAGTCTTAAGAAATATCCGCATAAAAATTTATCCCGCAGAGGAATATTCCCCAAAAATGTCCCGCCAATGTGAGATAGCGAAATATCCATGAATAATTTTTTTGCGCCCCAATGTGTCACCTAAAAAAAGCTCCCGATGAAAATTCCACTGGGATTCCAGAATTATTTAAAAAGCCTCCCCCCAAAATAGTGTCGACTCATCCCATATATCGCAGCTCCCTGAAATTATGAATAAAATGCCTCCACCTATGTTCATCTCTCGCTGATATGAATGAACAAAAAAAAAACAATCATTAATAAATTTCCCGATGATAGTAATAACTCTCCATGACGAATGGAGGCCCATAAAAATCCAGCGATACGTGATAACACGGAATAAAAAAAGTGCACTGATAAATTGGAGAGACTCTGGGGAATAGCTCGTCAAGTTTCGATGCATAAATTTGCGATTCAGGTGCACATATGTGGAACTACGTCGAGTCGATCGCTTCTCGGCTAAACTCGGTGAAAAAGAAGACCCAAATAAAATTTCCGTGAACACATGCCCGACGTATCTGAACCTCCCGGAGGAATACTTTAACTTGGACTTGTCACTTGGCATTAGATAACCCTCATAACAAAAATGCTAGTCCTCAATCTTTGGTCCTGCAAATTGCTACCCTAAATAATAGATCATCAATTTTATCCGTGACCACCATATACCCACGAAACGATCGTGAAATCTCGGACGCGATTACTCCATCAAAGATCTTCCATCGGTACTTCTTCAAATTGCGGTACGAACCCCACGTTCAATGTTACTTCATATATATGCGGAACTACGGTTTATTTTGATGCCCTCCTTTACCCCTACGTTTTATCAAATCCCTCGGGTTTACTCGTCAC